TACACATTGGATAATGAAACGAGGGAACGTTGTATCATAAGAATTAATTATACTATTGATTGCTTCTACTAAACAGGGGTGCAATTTATTGCAGGAATTCTGTATTAAAATTGAATTACAGTCACGGGTACACGTTCCTATTAAACGATTTTACGTGAAACATTAAATGCTTCCTGCCTTTGTAGAAATAGTTCAATAGGAATTAATAGAGTTGGCGACCAGAGGATTCATCGATAAACGACCTTGCGAAATAATTAACACATTGATTGGTACAATGAAAATGGTCGTGTGTATTCGGACGTGTTATAATTGCAATTACTCAGCATACGATCGTTTCATTCTTTAATTGAAACTTTTCACTTATTGCCTTTAGTGAAATGTTACAGGTACCAAAAAATAAAGTGAACTTGTCTAAATTATTTTCATATTTTCGTTGTTGTACAGAATACAAAATCATGCATGGTGATAATTGTATACTTCAGAATAATTAATGCAGTACTAACAACTGATCATGCTGAGGATCGATTACATAATTTCAATGCAATCTCATTATCGACGTAGATATAAAATACACCCGTATTTTATTCCATGAGCTTGTCGCGATCATGAATATTAGTAATAATCCAGCTATTCATGGATTACCACTAATTGAATAATTATCAAATATAGATATTACAGTACTAATATCTGCACTTAATTCATTCTGCGATTTGTCTGGTTCCATAAGACATAAAATAGAACATCGACTGTCATATTCATGAGTATCGCTTTCATTTATTTTTTCAATGTTCTATTTTTGACCATTCTTTTTGCATATTCTTAGACATTAGTGCAGCTATCGATCAAAATGACCGCAAATTCGTCGCCACGCAGTTTGTCTATAATTTGCTTGGTATCCATCCGAGAAGAAAGCAATGCACAGCTGCTAAAAAAAGATTCTACCTGGAGGATATTAAAGGGGATGCGACGGAACTATATAATTCGAAATCGATACTATGGGGTATACAGGGTGCTAGAAGGAACAGGATCCAAGACCTTAACCCTCGTCTCTTGATCGTTTTGTTTCATTTTTCTGCGGAAAGCTATTCGTCTTCATTTTTGTTATAAATCCACCCCAGTCAATATAATAAATCTTTCGATGAATATGGTAATTTTTATGAAACTTATAATAAATATGCAAAGGTGGATCATTTATTTCACTTTCAATCGAGAAAAATATTCAATATTTTTAATTGTATTCTTAATCAATATAACTGATAATAAATCAATAGTTGGATAATAATCGAGAAAGGTGCGTTAAAATTAAATTAGATTGATCTATAGAATCCTCGAAGAGTTCAAATATTTCGAAATGAATTATTGTACTCTCTGGTGGCGAATTTATTTTCAATACGAAGCTCTGAAAATAAACAAAGGAGCACCGTTGTTGTTGCAATATTACGTGAATATTCATGCATTATATTGTCCACACGTTATATGAATATATTCTCATCAACTGAAGCGTACAAATAGAAAATTAATATTCATAGAAGTCCTTGAATAGGTATTCCAGGAAAAAAAACGTTTGGAAAAACATCCCTTTTTCAATATTCCAAATATTTGTCAATTATTTGTCATATTTTTCACACTTCGCAGAAATTTCATTTTTGTTTCACTGTTTTCAACGATAACCTAAACGTTATACCGTGATTATTTTATTTCATAAAATGATTAAATTGCAAATTAAATTTTTTTAAGAAATCAAAGTTTGTAATTTTGTAATGATCGAAAACTTACTTCAACAATTTTTGTTCCATGATAACTATCAATATGATTGATGAACACGCGCCAAGGTTTGAAAGATGGTTCGACGAGTTCTTTTGATGCAAAACCGTCTTTGGATTCCTCGAAGATGACTCGATCATTATCGAGCGAGATTTTTTTATCGCTTTCGCTCTTCGTTACTAGTATTGACGCTCTTTTAGGCGTTGTCATAATTGTTATCTATACGAATGAAAAAAAAATTTTAAATGTGTCGTGAACTTTACCGATGTCTAAACTTCAGATCGCTCGATTACATATGCGATTTCATTTGATTCAACGTTGAACCGCATTCGATTACACAGAGATTAATGGTACTGGGGTATTTTCTGTATAAATGGTGACAGATTAATCTTCCCGTGTCGAGTTGAAATATTAAATTTATATAACAGGTGTGGTTTCAAGCGCTCTGTAGTCGACTTTATCGACTTGTTTGTTTTAGATTTTAATATATTATATGTTTATACAATAATCCGACTAAAAATAGACATGAATATAAACTTTAATAAAAGATACTATTTTTCTTTTTTTTTGTTTAGTTATTGAATTATTTTGATAGACAGAAGTAAAGCGAAGAAGAATGAGGTGGATAAAAAGTTGAGCATCAAAGTCCCAAATACGTGACATCGATCGTCAAAGTGTTAACTCAATTTTCTTTTTCACAGAAAATATTATAACAGAGTTACACAAAACGGCGATTAGTTAACGAGAAATTGATACGTTCTACCTTTCACGACTTACTCAATTGATCGTAAACGAAGCGAGAAACTGAAGCTCCGAGTAATACGGTCCCTAACAGTGTACGTAACGCACAAACCATCCTGCACGGCCTTGCTGCCCACGCAACCAGGATACGAGGGTCAAGGCTGACGAGTAATCCGTGCGGAAGATGAAAAAAGCTGGCCAATCAATAATTGAACGGGTTCACTGTGGGGAATTCGCGGACACGTAAATTGAAAGTGTTACGAGGCAATTCGAAATATCGTTTCAGAGACAACCGGCCACGTTATTCGACCGTTTAATCGCTTCCGAAGTTTGATGTTTCGAATATCTGATGCTTCGATCGAATAACAGGGAATCCTATCGGACGGATTAAATACTCAAATTCCCTGTCTATCATTCTGTCAGTTGATCAATTAGAATAAGAATCCTGAAACTTTAGACTTTCAATTCTTCTTTGGTTAAATTGGCGAAAGGGTTACTTAGAGATTTTGGTATTCGTTAATTCACTTCTTGCACTATGCTTCCCTATACATCCCAAGGATCTTATTTTTCTTATTTTGGCAAATTAGCAAAATATAGACTTCGAAATTTTTCTCTTTATTAATCCACTATGTTTCTCTATATTTACCAAAGATTCTCACACTATACTTCTCTATAGATATCAAAAATCCGTCCGGAAAAATCGACGATGGAATCTCAGCCCATAACACGTAAATGAAAGATGAATCACACACCGGAATATCGTAATTTCTATGACACTAAAGAAAGACCAAGAATTCCCAATTGGAAAGCAATTGATTCTGAAATGCGAAGGCGTCCTTGTGGACACATTGGATAATAACCATTGTTCAGGATAAGAACGTGTGAACAACGAACGAAACGTCTAATTTGCATTACACAAACCGATCGGTGTATTATTCTATCATCCGGGAAGCTCTATAAGGAGCTTCTGTCATGAATCGAAGACACTGTTAATAAAGGAGGCGAGACAAAACGTGACGTTTAGCTCGGTACAGCAAGCTGATGCGTTTGTCCGCTCGAAACAACCAAGCCAAGGATCTGTCCAGCTTTCCCTTTCTCGTGGGTCGTGTACAATACTGCATACTACATTAATCATCGAGAAATACGTGTACTTTACATCGAGAGTTATTCTTCATTTGCATCGTCTTCCAAGGGTTGCGCAACTAGCGAGCAGAGAGTCGTCTAAGATTTTTACCTGTTGAACGCAAAGTACTGTTGCGCCAGCTGGCTCGTAAATGAGTCACCGTGTCACGTATCCTGAACTTAAAAGGCGTGTACGATAAACATTCTACTGTTTTTTATTCTATTGTAATTTTAACGAAGCTCGTTGAAAAGTTCCATTATCCAGAAGTTGAGCTACCAATAATGCGAAGACTTTACTATCGGTCCGAAGAAAGTTCTAATCTCCTGGAAATAGAAAAGGGACCTTTGTAACCCGGCAAGTTGCTTAATTAGGAAGCTAGATAGTATTTATCTCCCGTTATCGATCGTCGCGAAGTAACAGCTTATTCGATTCGAACAGCATACTAATTTCCGTTCGTTCCTTGCGTGCCTCCAATTCAAGACAGGAAGAGGTTCCTTCCTTTGATTAAAATTTTTAGCTCCATTGGACGTCTATCTCTGTCCTCCCTTATCTAAGTTAATTAACTACCGCGTTACACAGCTTAGGCATCGAACGATATCTCGGAATTCCTGCCGAGTCTCCAGTGGTGCATGTAACAGCTTAAGATCGAAACAATCGAAAGATCATAATCTAATTTCACTTGCAAATTGATCGACGATTTATATTCACGACGCGAAGGAATTGCTGCACATTTTCTAAAGATTGCGTCATTTAATAGCCTTCTCTATTGCCTTAACTATTGCTGTTTATTTTCTTTCTAATTTATTTCATGTTTTATAATCAACATGTTACGGTCTGGAATAGCGTCGGTGGGTTAAATAATTTAGTCTAGTGAATCTCTTTATCCTCGATATTGTCTCGAGGAAGGCTCAAGCACGAATGAATGTATCGTCGCGCTTCGACATTAATCCGAATGTTTGGGCTAGCCACATTTCATGACTTACAACACCACCCTACACTAACGTAAGTTGTAAAAATCAAGTAAATTAAACTTTTATTACAATTAAATTCAACAAAACACACCAAGTTGTGCAAATCAAACAAAATATCATTGTCCAAACAAAGTTCAACAAATTAAATTGCGTTCACGCGTTACACAACAAATTGCGATCACTGGTCACTCACACCGTGATAATCTCAAAAGGCGTAAATCGTCTGTTATATTATTTTGCTGCAGTACTTTATTTTCCTTCATTTACCGTATTTGCATGATTTATGATATAATTTGCAGCGAACGACTTTTCAAATGAGTAATGGTAGCGAATGTGTTAACGCAGCATCACTTATCATTCGTCTACGTCAGAGCTAACATCCCTTGAATATGTGTTTGCAGAAGAATGGACGGAAACGTTCCCGTATCAACTGTTAGTTGGAACAGGAGTAGCGCTGATGGCATTATTATTGTTGGCTGCCGTGAGTTTCCAATGTTCTTCCACCTGGCGATGGTTAATGAGGATGAGACGAAACGTGAAGGAAGAGGATGCTGAGAGCGATTTGTCCCAACAAAACGCTATACGTATCAGTCATTCGTTGCCGGACCTTCAATCAGAACCGATCACCCACGAATACGTCCAGGAACAGAAAGACAGCAAGAAGGTATAAAATAATTGAATACCTACTCGTTAATTTTAGCAAGAAAGAAAAGTGTTGCGATGCCATCTGCATTCGTACTTAACGCTGATAATCCTAAAACTTTGATGCTTTTCATTTCGAAAAGATCACTTCGTGTATGGTTGGCTAATCCGAAAGGGTAAATGAAAATTTGATGCAAGCGAAATGTCGTGGAAGAAACTTGATGGTTGAACAGGCAACCTGAATTCCGGAAGGGTGGCTAACTTCCGGAATCATCTGTTCAAATATTGATGGGGTGATGGACGTATCAAAGCATGATTTTTTTATAGGTGTTACGTCAGACGACTTTACCCATTGTCCCGATGAGACATCAAAGCTTTCAAAGGCAGCTCTCCCATCGATTAGACCTTCCAAATATCAAGTTCAGCATTTGTAGCCTGGAGAATCGTAGCGATTCTAGTCTTGGATTAATTAAGGTAAGTTAATTTTCAGAAAATAAATCCAAACAGCATTAGTGTCGTATTGATTTTGTTAATTAAATGAATCTTATTTGTGCTGAAATGAAGACGGTGAATCGAGTTAACAGGTTTGAGGTCGCAGAAAAACAGTCTGCAACCCGAAGCTTAGTTTGCCCGTTAAGAGAGTGAAATTTTTCACTTTGCAAAGAACTCGTTGCAAATGGGCCAACGCTGAAAGGCACACAACGAAACAAACTAAGCGAATTCAGTTTGCCGAAAGTTTTAACCGTGCACGTTCACGTTTGCAGCCGGAACTTTACAAGAAAGAGCTGCTCAAACAGGATGACGCGGACAGCTCTAGTACCGCTGAAATGGAGTTCGCCGGAAGTCTGCGTTTTGGTCTGTTCTACGACAAGGAGATCGAGTCGTTGATCGTAAAGGTAAGCTTCGAAATTTCTTAAATAAACCTACGTTTTCTTTGCTCGTTATACGATACTAGAACAAATTTCGACGTAATATAATAATGATGTTGAATTTGACTGATGTGTAGTAGATAATAAAAATATTGTCACAATTTCCCTTCGTGAGAAGAATAATACAGCAAAAAATGATCAATACCTCCTTAATTACCAAACTCATTAAAAGAGTGTAAATGAACTTGAGCTTGGAAAATAATAAAATGAAACTTGTTACTTGACAAATATTGTACAATCCTGAAATTGGAACGTTCAAACGTTATTCAACTTTGTTACAAAGTTTTAGATCCATAGAGATTATCCCCCACATTGTCGAACATTGTTGCAGACTTCCGAAGCGGCCGTTGACCGCTTTTCGGAGTTGCATAACATTGTTAGAAGTTCTCAAATAGCATAAAAAAGTTTTGTTACCGTGTGAAACATTGTTGCAAAGTTGCAAATGCCATTAAACTTCGAAATTAGATTGAAACATGATTCAATGTTACTGAACAACTTCTTCAACCAGCGTACAAACGTTTCTTTAAACAAATCAAAATAATTGCATCAAATATTCTTGGCGAAATGTTTGTTTATCCAGATATCAATACGTTATAGGTTTTTCATGCTTATCCAAAGCATCTCGATTCCATCTGAATTGCAGCGAAAGCAAAAGCTTGTTTTCTAAGCAACGCACGTAACGCGGATCCAACATGGTACAGGGAAAAGAATTTTTTGCTTGCAAATGAACATCGACATTCGCGTTCCACTTTCCTCGTTTGCTCGGAATTATATCGGTCTCAATTTATAATACGATACATTCGATCGCGTGCAGTTGCATTGATTGATCTGCCAGTGCGACTCAAGGCTACAACATCCCTTTCGAAGATAGATTTTTCCGGCGGTTAAAGTGCATATAAATGATTCGATTTGCGAGGGTGTGTTCAAACTCATTTATCCTTTTCACGCGATCGATTATGTTCTTCGAATATAAAAACATGTTCCAGCTGCAAACAAATAAACGCGACGATAGTATGAAATAAATATAACACCGCGTCATTAACCAATTACGCGGTGCATAAACATTAATTATCATTCGACGAGTGAATAATGGAGAATGGAAATGGCACGATTATCATTCGTGAACGAGGCTGTCTGCAACGTTACGAACGTTTTTGCAGCAACGCGTCGGGCTTATTCAGCTAAACGATTGCACTCGACCGAGCTAATTACGCGCCGGCCATATTTAACGACGGCTATTTAATAACGTTAATGAATTACACCGCGTTTCTGTGATGTCCACCCGTTTAATTCTACCACCGACTCGTAACGTGGATTAGATAGTAACCGACGCTTTATTCGAAGGATATTGAATTAGTTGTAAATAGATCACTATGCCCACGTTTCGTGACATAGAATTCGTGATTTATAATCGATTAGCGCGTGTAATATATCGTGGTTCGTTCATAAATCTCTTGCGAGGACAGGTAATCGAGAAACCCACGGAGATCTTAACTTTGTTCTCTTTCCATGACCATGTATTGCTCGGCTGTCCCTACAATCTTTCTGGCGTCGATTCTAGGTTTTAGAAGCTCGAGACTTACCAGAGAAGGACGTGACAGGAAGTAGCGATCCCTACGTGAAAGTTTATCTCCTCCCCGACAGGAAGAAGAAGCATCAGACTAAGGTGCACCGCAAGAATTTGAACCCCGTGTTCAACGAGACCTTCATATTTAGGTCAGTAAATTTTAGAACAACTATGTATACCTTCCTCTCCGATATACAGATTCCTGCACGATAATGAGGAATTTTAGAGGACAGAATAGTTAATAATTAATTTTGTCAATAGCGTGTCGTACGAAGAGCTCGGGGAACGATATCTTCAATTTTCGGTATACGACTTCGATCGATTCTCTCGAAACGATTTGATAGGACAAGTGGTCGTCAAAGGTTTACTGGAATGCGCTGATCTTGAGCACGAACTCGAATACACAATGGACATTATGCGTACCATGCAGGTAACTCGTTGCTACAAAGCATTGCAACGCGATACTGAAACGTTTCCCATTGTTTTCTTAGGAAAAGGTGGATCTGGGTAAATTGATGCTGTCGCTTTGCTACCTTCCGACAGCTGGTCGGCTAACAGTGACCGTAATTAAAGCTAGAAACCTGAAAGCCATGGACATAACAGGATTGTCGGGTAAATTTACTCGAATTGTTCGGCATGAACCGTGATAAATACTAGGACCAGTTTCGAGTTAGCTATCCCCAACACGCAATATTGATTCGCGCGAGATGCGATCTTCTTGTTTTCTCGGAAACGTTGCACGAATCCTTATTACATTTCTATCTTCGCTCGTTGAAACGTGAACTGCAATCGAGAAGATCGAGATCCAATCAAATATAACGATTGCATCCTGTTCAATCAGCAGATAGACAAATACAAAACAAACCCTTTCGATTGATATTCTGAAAATGTAACTCGATAAATCAACTTTCAGACCCATACGTGAAGATATACCTGTTGTGCCAGGGCAAGAGGATCAAGAAGAAGAAGACCACGGTGAAGAAGAACACTCTATGCCCGGTGTATAATGAAATTCTAGTATTCGACGTGCCGGCAGAGAACATCGAAGACGTTAGTCTCATAATAAAAGTAATCGATTACGACAGGTAAGAGGAGAAGAAGTAGAATAGCGTAGGATAATTCATAAACTTCGCCTAACTTTTACTCAACCAGAATTGGATCGAACGAGTTAATGGGCTGCACGGCAATCGGCTCCAGTTTCATCGGTATCGGTCGTGACCACTGGCTAGAAATGCTGGATAATCCAAGGAAACCTGTGACGCAATGGTATCCTTTGATGGAAACGGTCGCTGGTCACATTCCAGCTGTGAATTCGGAGCCGCTTCCAGTGAGTCTGAGCTGCTTGAACAGTAGGTGAGTCAAGGGATCAATTTGATTCGATCGACGACTGTTTCAATTCAATATACATTCTAATCTTGGTACGGTCTGGCTTGAGTACCAGCCAATGGTTCAATACCCGATTTTTTAAATATTTTTTACAGATGAAGACAGTACGGCTGGGATAAATATCGCGGGAAGTCGCAGTTTTTGTCGGACGTCGTTTCGGGCGTTGTTTCCTTCTGTCGTCATTTAATGCACATCGCTTGACTGACTTAAGTACAATTTCTATCTCAACAGGCTCGGATGAAACAGAAGCAAAATACAAACCAAACAGTATAAAACTCTGTGCTTTGAAACATAATATATCGTGCGGTGAGCGTGAAATAGTAAACGTGCAGTAGACAGTAATAGAATGTTTGTAAAGCTTAGTACGATATAGAGAGTCGATGGAAGGACGAGGTTGCTCAAACTACTTTTGAAAAATATCCAAGATGAAAAAACAAAGTATCCTTAATATCGATAAGAACATACAAAACGAGAGAAAGAGAGGGAGAGAATGAGAGTGAGCAAGCGAGAGAGATTAAACAAAAAAAAAAAAAGATAGAATAGTTTATTTTTTGAAGAAATGAATCCAGGCTGGCCCTGTATTCTAGAATCGTTTATCAATTTCACTGATCGTATATTTTATCAACGAGAGAGAAACACTGACTCAATAAGCGGTTGTGAACGAGCAAATTTTTCCAATTTTTTCAATTTCAAAACATAAATTTACACATTCTATAGACTTGCTCTTCGATTGAACGACGCGACGGTCAGATAACAAAAGGGAATTCAACAAAATTTCGCGTATTGGAAATAATTGGCGAGCAGAGCATTGTGGAGTACTAGAGTCTTCGTTGTACGCACAGCTGTTAGTAATTGTTGCAGTAAGTAATCGTTGCATCGCGAAAAAGGGATCGAATGTGCACGTTCCTGCTCGATATTGCTTCACGATTGTTTGCAATGCTTGTCAGTGATTCGAAGCGTATTCTACCGTCTTCCTCGACGAGTCGTATTTGCTTATGGATTTCATTTCATATTGATCATCGCGCTGAATGCTGTCGAGACCACCAATTGCACATACAACAAAATTACTAGAAGGTACAAAAATTTCAAAGGAATTTTAAGTAGCATTGTTATTGCATTAATTTCATAAGTGAAAGAAAATTAAAGAAAATCACAATAAATGTTTATTTCGTTGCGCTTAATCCATCAAAGAGTTCTGTTGCAATCCGGTCATTTCTCCGTACGCCCACGCAACGAGAACGTTTAACCAACCATCATAAGCTTCAGTGCGATTAAATCTTTTCTATGCGAAACGTGTATACTGATGCCTGCAGGAACGATAATTTGGCAAAACACAAATAGTAGGTACAAAAATTGTTTTCAATCCGATGCATGAGACCACGAAAGAACGTTCTAAGGACAATAAAGCCATGTAATCCATATGTAGACCTTTCTTTAGTCTTCGAATAGCAATATTCCTAACGTTAACGTACACATAACGCTGTATCGTTGTTCCACTGTACACTCACGTTCAAAAATCACAGGATTCAAGACACTTCATTTTTTAAATTATGAAAATGAAAGAAGGAACGCGAACTTTGTTATTTCTAATTTCCAACACGTCAAAATTAGTGAAAATAGTATTCAAGATACATGGAGAATTTACTCCATATTCCGATCACTTCTTTTTAAATTTTCGTGAAATCTCAATGAATACTCTATGAATTTTGAACGAGAGCGTACATTGTGTACGCAAAACCGTGTTTAGTAACAACATCAATATTAACAAATGAAAAGAAAAAAAAACGCAAAAAAAAGGAGACGAAAAAAAGGGAGAATAGATGTAGCGAAGCAACGTTTACTAATTCACGCTCGTACGCAATTTTCGCGTAAATGTTCTTAATTTAACATGATACGTGTTTAGGTATAAAGCTCGTCGAAGGGCACCGTTTGTGATAACGAGGCCGGAAGCGCGTGCACACGCGCGGGAATGCGACCCATACGAGGACGTGTACCAATAAGTTCACGTTATATCTAGGCAAAATATCCCGTGTGCTCGATAATAGGACGCGTGTGACACGCGTGGAAGGCCACGTCGTAGAGAACAGTAAATCAACGCGAACGATGCGTGGCACGTATGATATCGTAACGCGTGCAGCTATGATGTATCGTGAAAATATGTACACGTATACGTGAAAATTCACTTGAGATCACGAACAGAGAGAAGTATGTACAAAATGGTACGATTTAATGATTTCGTGCAATCAGTTAACGTTTCGATGTGGTACAGATTCTATAGAAAACCAGAGGATATTATAGTATACATGGGCGTCCCTGGAAAGCGGATGAGCGAAGAGGAATGTTGAAATAATTAAAGAAATAGTTAAGAAGACAGTATTAACCCTTTAGGTGCAGAAGGTTTAAAAAGTAGCCATTTCTTGGTTTCCTATGGAAACGAAAAGTTCATGCACGATATTCAAGAGCAATAGTTGGAATATTAACGAAAAGCCCTTTGAACACAAATGAAATCAATAAAAAATATTAATTTTAATTTACAATGTGTAGCAGCTAAAGGGTTAAACCGATATGATTTAACAATCGAACGTCGTTACAGTACTCTGTGTTTCATGTTGCTGAAAGTATACCCAATCTGTACCGAAACACGCATAGCGAATAGATTAGTATCCGACTAATAACCGAAAAACGGTGATAATTAGAAGAAAATGTGCCAATACACAGAAAAGTAGTATTAGTAGCGTAGAATAGCGAAACGTAGTGCACAAGATGAACAAAAAGCTTTTAATGGTTAATCCTGAAAATACGTAGCCACACATATATCCATATAAATATATATACATTTATGTATAATCCTCGTACCAGATCGTATCCAGTCAATTTGATCGTGGTTGCCCGTGAGGTCGCCTTCTTTTTCTAGAATACTTGTTGCACTTCTCGTTTTCGCGTTCCAGCGACGCCCATCGCGGACAAAACTAATCAAGATAACTGTATTTTTCGTACAAATTGCGAACATTCTACTACAGACTGAGCTTATTCGAATAACTTTCACACGAGCTACGTGGAAACAAAAAAGAAAAAAAAAGAACAAATGGAAAAGGACACGTAATTTTGTAAATTAGAGTAGTCGTACGAAAGGGGTCAACTTGGAGAACATTTTTTCTACGAACGTAAGGAACGGATACAATAGAAAAAATTGGATGTTATTCTATAGGCTATCGAACGATATATTTGATCTGTATTTATTTTGAATACAGAATACCGTGTCCAATCGAGGACACCAAGGTGTACTTGACGTCGTCGAACTGTATTTGATGTGTCGATTCTTTTATTCTAACGTTTTTTGTATTCGTTTCGATGTAGTGTTAATGTGCGTAGCCGTCGATGTTCGTTCAAGTAAACGTGTGATTTTGTACGTGAACATGGTGATTTGGAGTAACGTTGATACACGATATCGTTCAATTTCTATCGTTTGGATCTGTCCGAGCAACTTCAATCGCAGCATCCTCTCGCACTCGACTACCGATGGGCTGACAATAATTATTTTGAATTATCAGAAAATTTCAATTCAATTTAAATACTATTTACGATTCAAATTTCTTGAATTTCAGGGGTTTCGAGAAGATCCTGGAATTATTAAAAATCGTGAAGTTGTATTATTATTCGAACAATGTTATTCTGGACCAATTATTTGGATACTACCGTTATGATCAATCATTACGAATTGCTTGGAAATTGGCAGGATAGAATATTGATTGCCCATCAACTATTGACACCGCTGTCGATACTCTGTGACACGCGTACATATCAATTGCGACGATGCGGGCTGACAGGTATCAATTTCACTGGATAATTATTATCAGAAGAGCGTGAAAATCAGCTAGCAGACTAAAGTCTAATCAACTAAAGTCTATTCTAATCATGAAAGTGACACCGTAAACTTATTTAACCAAAAACTGCAGGCGAATCGAGTCAAGGTAACACGGTACCGGTGATAATATGCATTTTCTAACGAGTATGTATTTATCTATACTGTATATCCGGGCACGCAGCTGTCCATTCGTGATTGTGAATGAAATAAATAAAACTCGGTACCATATAAGATCCTTTGTTCTTCATTTCTCTTGGAAAAAAATCAGGTACGACGAAAGTAAAGGAAGAACCATCTGCAACATCAAATGTACTTTTCATTTATTTGACTACTTATCTTTACAGATTAAATCTACCTTAATGCTAAGATACAGCTTTCCCATTATGTTAACTCTAATCGAAACGTTACGATAATACTAAGTATAAAATAAGCAATAGAGCTTATACTGTTATGTAGCAACGACTTAAATACCTCTACTTAAATAGTATCCTTTTAAAAGTGCCGGGAATTAAACAACCTGCGTCGTCCGTGTCGTCGACGAGGCTTGATCGTCACCGGTAACCAATTTTGGCTTTCCTCAGAAATTAATATTAGACAAGCATCGAGGTTCTTTTTTTGACAAGGGTAATTATTTGCAGCCATTTGTTCGTCGATCGAACATCGTACCATCTATCGTTCTGGTGCTCTTTTCTAACTCTACCTTGTGTCGCAGATTGTGAAAAAAGAATTAGGCCATATTTATCCTACTCGTTTCCTCTTGGATTCACACTTTTCATTATCCCTATATTATCCTCTTTTCTTTCATTTCTGCCTTTCCTTTTCACGTCTGTTCTTTTTACTAATTGAAAATTCACAGCAATTCGAATTCACGTTTTCTAGAATACCTGGCTCGAAATTACGATTAACAACAATGACAACAATTTGTGTGTGATGTAGAAAACAATATTTCGCGGAACGATGTTCAGTCTTTGAAGAAATGTAACTGCAGCGACTAATTAATAAGTCTTTCTGTTAACCGGATGAGGCTTAAGCTTAATCCAGAGCGGATGGCTCGTGTTTATATAGCATTACAAATGCTGTACAATATATATTTTATTTTTTTTAATTTTTTTTTTTTTAAATCGTATCGCTTATTACGCATAAGAAACGGACTCACGATTATAAAACGCTACTTTGACGCAGATGAACTCGATGGATCCTCGGTGTTAACGAACGCAGCTCTACGATTTCGCTACAATGATTTTATTATTCACTTGTGTTTCTTTTTTTTTCTTATCCTGCTTTTCTCTTCAACTTCTTTTCTCAACATCTTTTTTTTCTTTGTTTCTTCTGTTTTCTCTACAATCTCTGTATATATATTGACTTCTTATCGATTGATTGGAAAAATTGCTTCGCGAGGGAAAGAAACACGCGGCGATGATTTGTTTCTCGACGATCGAAGAATTCGTTTTTCATCAAAATCATCGTCGCGATTACCTTCCTTCTCGTCGCTGCTAAATACTGAACAGGTTTACGATTCTAAACGACTAAGCGTTCGAGTAAATGTTATTCCGCGACGTTTATGCGCTTTTTTTTTTTTATTTCTTTTCCTCTCATCCGCCCGTGATTACGCTTAGAAACGTAGAACGTTCGATTAATCTACTCTTGTTAAGTACTTCTACGGGCAGCTTCGTATCTAAACGAATCCATTAATCTTCGGGTTTTTCATCTTTTTTTTCTCCCTTCGTTTTTTTTTTCTTTTTCATTTTCTCGTCTCTTTACACGAAATACTCGCGATCATCTCGCACGTTTTCCTGCGTTCAACACGAATAACGCAAAAACACGTGGTCGGTCCGATGATACACGAATTGTACAAATCTTTGCTTTGTGTGATTCGTTTCGATTATTAATAATCATTTAAGTACAAGTGAAATGCAACCACAAACCTGTGATCAGAGCACTAATCAATTATACTTGGTAATCAATGTTAATAATAATTAATAATGATCAATATTAATAATCATGAGAATAAATTGTAGTTATAATCATATAATAATATTATAGGCAAACCTTTGTTGTAGCGTTGTACTTAGCGTTATTTAAAATAGTAGCGTTACTCTTATGTATATACCGAAGTTCGATTACGGACAGAGAATTGATTCCTTTTAACTTCCTTTTTATATATATATATACTTTTCTTCATATATATATATGTATATAGCAATATGGAGGGAATTTACTAACAACTTGCTCGAAAAGTGCAGCATTCTCACACACCTATAAACAAATATAAAAACTCCTCTGTTTAAAATCTTTCTGCTTTTCTCTTTCGTTTTCTCTTTTTTCCTCTTTTTATCTCGCATCTCATTTGTTTCTTTCGTTCTCCACGCTACACATTCTCACGAATTACGCTGCTTTGCGCGCCCCGTCGAATCGCGACCGATTCGAATTTCTCGTCGCGCCAGTCGCGGCGCGGCAAACCGTTCGAATTCAAACGAAGCGCGCGAACGCGAATCGCCGTAAAGCAGGAAATGCAGATGGAATGTTGTGCGTGCCTTAACTCATTGCATCGTTCCTTTTGCTCTTTCGTTTACTTTCATCGTAGCGAAAATAAGGTGTCGATAGTATGCGTCTGTACACTTAAGTACAATGTGTGAAATTAATATTATCCGAAGCACCAGGCACGATAACTCTTTCTCACGCACACATTACACAACATGTTCACGCTCCAATATCTCATCCTCGTAACTTATTTTTTTTTTTTGTCATTTTCTTCTTTTTTTTCTCCTTGTTTCAATCATGCACGCTCTCCTCGTTGTCTCAATTTTTCTTTCTCTCGACACGCGAACGAAACGATACGAACAATCATGCATAAGCACGCCCATAACGTATAGCAGCGATAATACCATTGTAATTAACACGATTGTTGCACACGTAACATTGTCCTATGCGTGTATAAATTGTACGATTAACGAGCGATCGACACGCCTCGACGGCGTGTCAGGTGCACAATAATAAGTACCGAGGCTAAATGCATATTTGTTTTTTTTTTTGTTTAATAACCGTATTACACGTTACATCGTGGTACTTAGCAAGCTCAAGAGTGATTGATCGCTATTGAACGACGAATGCACCATGCACTTACTTTTTACATCTACCACGTACGACAGTACTGTATATGATTTATTTAAAGTGTATTATCGATATCTAAAGGAATCCGGGACCGCCGGTAATCCGCGACGCATCCAAAACGCGCGCGAGTCCTGACTAGATACATATCCTGAGACGTTCGCGTATTTGGGACAATTTTTCCTCTCGTTCGATTTCATCTCCGCGTCAACGGATCCCTGTTTCTTTAAGTACTTCTGGCCGCATCGAATCGTATGATCCGCGAAATCGCGCACGAACGCGCGCAGCATAGAGAAAACGCGTCGCGATGATCACCGACGAGACCGTAACACTCTCGCACCGAATTATTCTCATTTAATCCCTTGTTCCTCTCACACCGTTCTCTTTTCGCGCCCTCGCTCCCCTTTGTCCTCCTCTCCTGCTCCCACGCTTGTCTTATCATTTTCTTTCATCATTTTTTCGTACGAAGATCCTCTGACTCGAAGTCACATCATCGATCGTCAGCGAAAGGAAACGTATCGAGATCTAGAACGACTAAGAAAAGAAGAAACTCGCTGGCCTATATTTTGAAGCGAACCGTGTACGGTGCTACGTAGACCGAATCGCAGGTGCAAACAATCGAAGCTATGCACGCGATAAGGACCTTTCACGTTACTATTCACGCTTTCTATGTAATACTCGTTGATGAACGCCGACATTGTTCGAAAGAGTGACTAGGATTCGTTTTTTACATTCGAAACGACGAGTAGACGATCTGTCTAACTTTCATTTCTACATTCCTCTCCAATTTTTTGTTTCAATAAATCGCATGAATTCGTCCGATCTTCGCGTCGTTTTCTTTTCTTTTTCACTGTTCCATCGTTACTTTTCGTGAAAATGAACCTTCTGTTCCATTCGAATCGTCATACGGGCGACACGTTCACACACGAACAACGTCGAGAATGAATTCGGGATCCATGTGATTCCTCGCTTGTTATAAGCCTATTTATAACATTCTCTTGCTGATTAATTATACCTCGCGTGCGAAAATACCAAGAAATATCCTCGCAAAGTTAAGCTGGACGGCTTTGATAAAAATTAGGATCTCTTTCGAAGGACGTGAACATTTAAGGGTATAGGAAGTGTTCTTGCGGGCTGATCGATGGTGATTGGTGATGGTGTGTGTAAGTGTTAGGGGTGATTCAGCGTACGCGGCATTGCGAAAGAAAAAGCATCGATCGTCCCTTGCGAAAGTGCCTTCTTGTGCAAATGTGTATACTCGAGAACCATTGCGTGTACATGTGACGGAATCTTGTTTGTGTATTTCTTTAGCGTATCGTGATCGAAACGATACCGAATCAATAATGTCGATACCTTATCGAAGAGGATCGATACTCGTTTGATACTTCAACGAAAGTATTTCTATACAAGGGTTTTTTGGTCCCCTAATTAAAACATGAAGTTAGAACAAAAATAAAAATATTTTTCTCTTCTGAAGTTGTTAGCATTTTTTCAAAAGTATGGCAGTTCTTTTTTATTTAGAATTAACACTTTAATAGATATATAAAAGTCTAAACTCGAAAATATAAAAATTCCTTCAGGTGTTAAACATCAAATTGTAATATTCAGATGGATATGAAGCATCGAGAATTTCATGAAGTATCAAACAGGTATCGATCCAATGAAGTACTTGTATTGACTTAATATCTCTGCAAGAAGAATTCGTATTGAAAATCGAAACCAAGTATCTAGAATTTCGAGTTACTCTAGTATCGATATGTATCGGTATCGGTTCGATCACTACACGTAGGTGTGTCTCTACATTCTTACGTGTCTCGTTAAACTGAACTAAGTGCTTAGCCGAAGAAGTGTATCGTATCACGAGCAGCAATCGCGACACAGGCAATGGAATACTTTGAAACGAGTACACGTATCTATGCCTCGTCTTTTGCTCATTCGCTCGTCATCCTAGTACGGAATATAATATGTACGTATTTATATCGTATATGCATATTTATAGAGATAATCGTATTTACACGGGACGTTATTGGCATCGCGGGTAGGAATCTGATCGTACCCGAGCGTACTTCGAGGCGGGAAAACAACGCAACCTCGGCGTGTTTGCGATTCCCTCGGTCGCCAGCGTGCTGTCCAAGGACCTCTTCGCGTTATCCTCGAAGGACATGGTCGAGAATCGACCTTCGAGTGTTCGCAAGCGTACAGATAGATTCGTGTGGGTTCGTAATTGACTAGCGATTCCAGAGAGACATGTCTACTTCATTTTCTTCCGCGAATCTCTCTCTTCCATCGCGTTCCTTGCACGCTCGACAGTTCGAGGACACGAGATAAACGTCCATCAATGTACGATTCCCGACTCCTCGTTCGAGATCGCGGAATAACGCTTGATCGGCACAAGATTCTGCACGCCTGCTCGTCGATTCACGGAAGCACTGCTTATATCGAATGTTTATCTCGTCGCGGGAAAAGCGAATTTCTCTTTGTTTATTGCTAGAACGCTGAATATTACCTGCTGCTCGCCGACTACTGTTCCGCGCCCACTACTTGATTGTAATAAACGTTTACGAAAGCGTCGTTGCTCGTTGCTCCTATCTGTAAATTGTTCAATCTCATTGCACAATGCGTTTCTTCGATTTCATTGAATAGAGTAAGTACACGTAGGATTATAGTGAAAATGGCTGTTGCATAGCTGTCGTCATTGCGACGAGTCCATCGTTAAGGAAAATCTGTTGGTATTGTGCAAAATAGTCAAACAACAGCCGGGTTATGCTTGTATCCTGTTCGATTTTGCTAGACGTACGCAAAACATTCTCAGTAGCGTTGCTGGAACTCGTGGTGCCACCGGTTGAAGTCGATGTGGAATATCACGATCGATCCGTTCGCTAGACCAGCGAGTAGAAACCTGAAAACAAGTTTCATGGTTGTTGTCAAAGCACAGCATTTAAACGGTCAAAAGTTCAGTTCGAAGATACTTACTTTTGGTCGTGAGAAAGTGCCAGAGAACGGACACTACTTTCGCATGCTGGAAATGCATATAGAAGAGCTAGATTGAACGTCCTCCAAACTTCCACGATTCGTTTGTCACCACCTGTCATTAAGTACTCGCCGTCTCTGCTTAAAAGCAGACACTGGAAGGAAGAAATATTAATTGAAATCGAATTATTTTTATTGAAATTGTCCAACTGGTTCCCTCTTCTCTGATGTTCTTAAGACTTAACATCTAAGTTACCTGAAGATTATCATTATGGGACTCGTGACGAAGACGTTTCCCATTGATGGTGAACGCAGCTATGTGACCACGTTCATAGTTCACCACAATGACACCCTCCCGTGACATCGCGATATTTTCAGGAGATGAAAATCCATTTGGTGCTTCCAGCGACCTCAGAAGATCTCCGAAAGTCGTGTGTACGAGAACTGGTCCATCTATGAACAAAAAATAGTTGACCAACGTGTATTAATAATAAGATATCACGAAATAGATATGTGATTACGTACAGTAAGAACCGGAAACAACCAGGCCCAACTCGGCGGATATAACTACAGCCGTAACCGGTTGTTCGTGTCCTGTCAGGGTTGCTCTTGGTGCTGGAGCTTCACCCTCTCCGACGATCGTCTGAGTTCTTGCGTTCCAATGCCACAATAAGACGGTGCAATCGGCACTTCCGGATGCTATGTAACAGTCGGAAGTGATGTTGCACTCGCTGCGCGACAAACAGGTGACGACCCCGTAATGGCCAAACACTATCTGCACTATTTTCGCTGCAAAAGAAAACATTTATGTCCGACTTTCCATTATTCAACGCTTCAAACTTTCCATCGGAGGTCCTATATTTTTTTATAAATCAGAGAAATAATTGTAGAAAAATGATTACCAGTTTCAGTGGAGAACACACGGAAACTGTTGTCCCAAAATCCGCAAGCGACTAAAAATCTGCTGTCTACCGTGGTAACGAAGCAATTGCTTCGAATCGTCAATTTCTGACTGAAATTGTCTCCCAAATGTCTTCTCAGCGCTGGATTGGAGCTATTCGCTGCTTGCGCTGCAATAAACGGATCAATTATAACGATATTTCAATTGAAAATTCTTTGTCAACACTTTTCATTGCGCTTACAGAGAACAGGATCCATGGACATCGGTTGATTCGCAGCCTGAGCTTGAGGAGTATCCGCGTAGCTAGGTGATTGCACGGAAGCTGCAAATCAATTCGTATTAGATGATCGATTTTATAGGAACAGTGAAGTTTATTAGATTTCTACTGCTTACCAGCGTAATTAGTGTTCCATCTGTTGACAGCGAATTGCTGGCCGGTGGTGACCGTAACGACGGACGGCAAAGGTAATTGGGGATAAGTGTTGGCCGAAATGTGACAAATCGGCGAATTCGATGGGAATTTGATGGTCATGCACACGTCGTCCGGGATACTCGAGAACATCATCGGCGACTGCAACACGGGCGGCAACGTCTTGTCAAACTTCGCGGTACTCTTCTCGTTCGGTACGATTGAACAGAAAGAAAAGCGTGCATTGTACGTGTGTGTAGGTAAACGCGTATTTCGTAATTTATTTTAAAGGTGAATAAATGATTGAGATCTAAGGAACGGAATTTCACGTTCTTTCAGTATTTCGGAGACTAAACGTTTTAATCTCATCGTGCGTTAATTCAGTCAAATATATATAAAAATTGAAAATATAATTTCAAACATAATCGCATAAGATTAAATGGTACTAAAACTATGATTCTCATGGTTCTATAGAACGGTACTGAATTTAATGGATCATCCTTTGTCTAGGAAGATAGATTTAATAGTCTAGCTTACATATGGAACTTTCTTTGGGTTTTTCTAAAACGAATACCTACGATACATTGCACACTCTTCCTGTTACACGGTTCTAAGAGGTCGCTAATCGAAGCATGAAGTAATAGAAATTAAACGTAGTTTACCAAATGCATCGCAGAACTCCTCGGAGGGTGAGGCTCCATCAGAAGTTGCGATGGTGTTTGGCCAAAGTTTCGTATTTGATTCTCGATGGCTTCTCTCATCAATGGATCTGTTATGGTGTCCAGATCTACGCTACCTTCGTACGTTAGATAATAGAAAACGTTTGTTGCTCGAACAGCCTCTGGACCTGAATGGAAATAAATGCAACACAATTCAGAGGGGTTTAGAAGAAAATATGCGAAAAGATTTTCCTCGAGTTTAATATTAATTTTCTGGAGAACTGAATGGCACTTTTCCATATCTTTGTTCAGGCAGTCGACTTTCGAACCTTCCATCGATTTCTCGCGGCTTGTATTTCCGGTTGACTGTAGTCTTTCGTGCAACCGGCTGTAAATGTGTTGCATATTAGGGGTGGCACGCATTGTCGCGTCCTGCACACGTGCCTAATTGGTTGGGACAAGACCAAGAGGAAGCCTAACTAAAAACTAATTCCTTCCATACGCGCGGCAAGCGCCGGCACCGGTCTCTTGGTTCCTCTGCGACAGCATCTTCGAGGAAGCGCCGGATATAGAGGCGCCACCGGCAATTACCATCGGTAGAGATCTAATTTGACTCGACTCAACGTGTCCCAACACCCGGCTCGCTCTTCTACCATTCGCGCCATTGTATGAACACCGCATTAATCATGTTCATTTTATTTAACGAATATCCTCATAACGATTTGTAATAGGCAAGGCCGTTTATTATAAAATAAATAGAAGTCTTACCTTTCTGTTTGTAACCGAATATCAGATCGATCCACTGGTGTAATTGACAAGACACGAACTCCGATTCGAGTGCCTATGAAATTTGCAAATACAAAAGATACAGTTTATTTAAAATATTAGATACAATTTCAGAGATCGACTGCCACAGTGCAAATAACTATAACGATAAATTATCTTTTTCTCCTTCTATTCTATTTAATTATACACGTACCATTCGATTGATTCGTATAAATTCTTCCGGCGATGACGCCCAAGGTGGTAATTCAACATCGCCCACCGAGCTGCCATCCTCTTGTCTACCCAAGCGATACCGATTGCTGTTCACCAACATTTCCGGTAGGAAGAAGAACTCCGGAATAAGCTCCTGTTAACGAGCAGAACAATTTATGTTCTTCCTTGAAAATTCTTTCCTGAACGGTAACAATAGTAGCGTACATCCGCTACTCGGGATAATTTAACGAATATACACTATCTTTGAGAAGTTGAAACGAAACGAACCTTAACGTCGGATGTGTCCCGTTGACAATTCTTCCAGGATAACGCGATCGAGGAGAATAAACGATTAGGGTGATCGAACTTGCCACCTTGAAGCGCCAGAAACATCGTTGTCATGGGTTCCTATAACGTACAATAAATAAATAAACGCTCTTCAGAATGAATTACAGAGAATCTTAACACCATCGCGTCGAAAGACAGCCCCCAAACGCTTTGTTATACGTTTACAAACTTAAAATTTCATTGATCGAATGTCAGTCATTCGTTTCACTGACAGGCTGATGAATGTTAACGGAAGGACCCCCCGTGATCGACGTCAATTTCACGCGTAGGCGTGGAACTGGTTGTATCCTGATTTACAGTCATGGCATAGGTAGAAAATTTTCGACAAGGCAAACGTTTACAACGACCCAAGGGAAACGGGTAGTTTCGGTCGCGTTTGGCTTTTTACAGCTCCACGACAACTCTCGGTACCGTAACCAAAGCGTTAAAGGTACTCGCGGAAGAGACAAAAAGCGGTGCAGTTATACAGCAATATAAATTCTTTACGACGCAATATATCGTCGCCGGAACAGCGGGATATCTCGAAGCTGAGAAACAATAAAGACGCTTATTCGCGTGTAAACGTGGAAAATGATCGTCGTTCGATCGTGGATCATTCGAGCGAATTTACATGTTCAGTATGGGGCAAACTTGAATTTTATATTTGTTATTAATGTTATAGAAAAGAGCTGCTTGATTACATTGAATTCGTGATACCGATCATTAGTGTATCCAACGGTATTCTACGTGTTAACAGAATCGTTAACGTATGTAATAAAAATGCAACGGCAACCCGGCGACGGGTGTATTTTTACGTTGAATCCACGAAACGTCGTCCCGGAGAGACAGGAAGGAAAATGCAGTAGAAAACAAATGTGCATATTTAACGGGAAGGCGGGTTTCGTTGACTCGAGGGCGTTCCGACGCCCCCAAATTAGTTTGCAGACACTACTGAATGCGTAGCTTAAATTTATGGTTCGAACTGGACAGGTCTCTTAAATAGACGGTCCAAGAACGAACGATTTTGTTGGGATGTTTCGAGGATGTTTGCGGCAGCCTCTCCAATATAGATCGTGAAATTGAGCTCTATTTACAAAATATCGACTTAAGTGGATATTAATTGACAGAAATCTGATATCAAAGGGTATTACTACTGCTTTGTATCAATGATGAGTTCTCAAGTTGTGAAAAAGTAGAGATCATTTGTGATAAATTTCAAAATTAATCCACTTAATACATTGAAAATATATAGCACGAGCTTACCACACGTATCATCCAATTCAAAACAAAAGCAGCCGTGGAGTAATGGGTGCCATAATGGAAAGGTGGTATACTGTCGTGTTCCCAACTTTGAAAACGTTCCTCGAAGTAAGCCCTTCTGCTTGGATTCAACGCTCCAATAGGCTGTTGTAAGATGTCAAATAATTGAATAATAATCACATCGTAAAATACACGATTCTTACTCGTATCCTATTATTACTTACCTTTGATAAGTCACGATAATTACTGGGTAAACTGAGATCCAGCTCCTTCGTCTCGTAGTTTGTCAACACCCAAGGGAAAACCGGATATTGGTTCAAGTCATTATACGTTCGACCTGAAAGGTAATTTACATTTAATTACTTCAATTCGTTTTGCTATGACACATTTATCACTTCCGTTTGCCTTTACTTTATTACTCCCCGTATAGTTTCGATTTTTACTAACGAAAAAAGTTGAAAAATTTAATTTTCTGATAAATATTATTATTTACAAGAGGAAACTAATAAGTCAGTGGAATTTAAATTAACATATATTTTGTTCAGATATACTAATCTATTCGACGTAGGAATATTTTACATGCAAATGTTCATAGCATATGAAAAAATTCAATTAACATCATAATGAACGAATTGTCTCTGATTGGCTTACAATATTGCTTGGATACTTAAACCATTCCCGACCCCTTCCAACGAAAGAACATAATGACGAGCAAGAATATGGTGACGAAAGTCTATTCGAATATCGTTTTACGATGCGTCCACGTATCAGCGAGTAGTTAGTCGCATGGGACACACTTGTCCCACTCTCGGAGAGCAAGTATCCTCGGTTGAATTGGGTACCAAAAATAAACGAGTGGTTTATTCCTTCCTTTTAATACGTATAATCACCGGCCTAATTTTTTTTTCTCCCGACCCAGCCACGGTCACTTTTCTTTCCAACGCCACCCTCGCCGAGAGGAGAAAGAAAGAAAATGTAACGTGGTTCGCATCTTCTGATTCTATTTTTACGAAATACGCGCCGCGGTTCAAAGCAGTGGAAAGGGAGGTGTTCCGTTTAGTAAGCGTATAACTCAGAGCGTGACGGCTAATCGTTCCTGAAATTGTCACTTCTGGAGGTCTCACTCTTCCACCCCCTACCCCTTGAAATCCCATTCCGAGATGCATTAGTGACGGCAGCACGGCTGCAAGCCTGACTTCGTCTAATCTCCTCCCCTGTCGCTAATTAAAACCCGTCAGCGAGTTTGTCAGCCAGCGTACCCCTCGCGCCGGGTCGTTTACGGGCGCCGTTTAATTCGTCCTACTTCGTTCTACTTGGTTTCCCGATTCGTCCACGCACGTCAACCAAAGTGTCTTCTTTATCGAGTTGATTGTTACCACTTTAAATTTCATTTAATCAAGTGCTTAAGAAATTAAGCGACAACGAGGGTTTTGAATCTGAGATTTTATCAATTGTAATTTATCTTTTATAAAATGAAATTGATTTTCTGTTTGATATTGCTAATGCTATTTTAAAAACTCGCTTCAAAAACTAAGAATAATCAAAAGAAGCCGAAAAGTCTGTAGACTAGACCCGAAAAAAATTCACCGAATATTCGATTCGTTCGTGAAGGAGAATACAAAAAACAGAGAAGAAAGGAAAGAAGGACTCGGCGGCGAAATGGCGGCGCACAAGCCCCGTCGTAGCTACAATGCGTCGTAAATCGTGATGCTGCACGACCGACGGTCGGACGTAAATAATAGTAAGGCCGCGTTATGCATCAAAGTGATTATTAATGGTAGCGTCCCGGTGAGTGAGCGTTCACGAAACGTTTCTCGACAGTGGAATGCCCGCGACACACTCGTCCCTCGTGTCTCCACCTCCGCAAACTCTCTTCAGCCCAACACTCACCCTTACTTTTGTACCTAACCCACCTCTCTTCCATGGTGCAACGTTATAATAAGTGCTGGCCGCGACGAGAGGCTCGTTTTTAACTCGCCACTCGGCAAGATTTAAAAGGGCGCGATCCTGGGGAAGAAAAATCGACAGGAAATGCAGGGAGATGCTTACAACTTCGCGACTAAGTTGCAACACATGGTGATTCGTTAAGTAATTTTAGTGCTACGATTTTCTTCAATTCATTCTTTAATTTTCTAGCGCAAATAACATTTTTAGAATCTATTGGAATTAATTTTTAACAAAAAATCAACATTTTAACGAGCATAATATATGGAAAAACTGAAAGTGTAAGCATCCTGTCTGAAACTCCTATCACGTTCGATGCGAAATATAAACGATACTCTCCTAAGTACCTATTGTTCGATCGCGAAAGTAACGATCGAGGCGAAGAAACACCATAGTCAATAATTCACGATCCTCTTGTTCGTAATATCATTCCGAGACCCGCGATTTATCCTCTTGCGTCAATTATTAAAATACTATTCAGACGAGTTCAATTATATTAAAGGAAGCTTTCCTCTTATCGATTGTAGAAAAAGGAAAAGGACGAGATACCGGTGGCGGTGTACGAAAGATACACCCACGCGAACATACACGACGAACACGGAGCCCATCGTATTTAAAACGGCCCTACTGTCATTAATTTTTAATAAACCGATGCAACCGAGAAAATAAACAACGAAGAGGATCCGCATGCACGAGCCCGGATGCGAGACCGGTTCGTTTTCGTAACGTGTTCTCCCGCCGGGCTTTGCCCAATTGCACTCTGCGCTACCCACGCCCTTCGCCCCCTCTCATCCCCCTGCACCTCCTCGATGGACTATTTATTCGCGCAATTAATATATAACGCTCGTAAATACACGACCACCCTACAGCATCTCGTGGTGTTCTCGTCGATGTAGGAATAATTACGCGTCCGCGATCATCCTCGTCATTAAGGGCGCGTGGGTAGTCGTAAATTCTATCCTTACATAATTCCCGAACTCCCACGATCATCTTTTTTTTTACGATCATAATTTAACTGAACCATTTATTAGATTTCTACACGTAGGGCTTTCATTCTTTATTTTTTAAATACACGTATTTTCAATTGAATTGTTCTATCGTTAACTAACCCTCGCTATTTGTCGAAATGGCTGATCAGCGGTGATCCGGTAAAAAACATAAAAGATAAAAAAAGATGAGGGTTCTCGGTTCTCGAGTTTCATGATTTGGCCCGCGACGTTCGCTCGCGAGCCAACAAAAGGGAGGCCGATATTAAACCGAAGGAGAAACAAAGGCGCGGCTTCCCATTCGGCTTGGTAACGTGGGGAAGCAGAGAACACCAGTCCCTCGAGAGAGGATTACCAGGGCCCACGAGCTAGGGATTACTCGTATGGGGTGGCTAACGGAACACGGAGCTGATTGAGAACATCCCTAATACGCCGCGACAGATTCCATCCGCCCGTGTGCAGCCATAGACGTTCGTCCCTTTTCTATCTCCTTCTTTCACCGACTTGTTCCCTTGATCCGTCTCGTTCGAGGCTACGGCGAAATCGAGAGACGATCGACCCGTCCGCAGACGTCGCATTTTCTTTCCGCAACCGGTAAGCCGATATGATTTTTTAGCCTAGCATCATCCCCCTTTTATTACCGTTGCTGTTAGCCTCACCGTAAGAAAGAGATTTTCTGCGGCAAACCCTAACCAATCGCGATAGAACGGCTGACAGAAGGTTGATAGAATTCGAGGTACTTTAATTAATTTTAATTTTGTTCAATAGAAATCTTAAGAATGGATATAATACTTACCAGCGATTGTGTTTAAGAACATGAGGTACTCAAAGTTGGATATTTCTCTTCGCTGCCATTTTTGCGTCATGTTCGAGCTTCTCATTAATTGACGAGGCGACATCATCGACGCTCTCCTGCAAGAACGGTGCTATTTTTAATTTTTCATACAAAAAAGATAATCGTAGGTTTCTGATATACGAAGAATTCTTGATAGGTAAATTACTGGGAATTATGCACGACCTATTTACGTGTTAATTATTTTGATTAGTGTCTAGGCAGATTTAAAACCGGTGTAATTACTTATTAATGATTCCAACACTGATACCTGACACATATGAGCAATTGATACCAATCTAACCAGTTTACGCTGTCAAAGACGTATCGACTGTTTAAATATACAATTACTATTGACGAAGGCGTGATATTAATTTGCAGAATCATCGGAAGAAATATTTTAACGCTTAGACTACCGTGCAAGATGATATTTGACAAGAACTTCAATCATATTTTTACATTCCATTTCTGTCTTCGCTTTGTTAATCAATTTCTCGTTAATGGTCCGTATCGATCTTGATATCAAAGCAATACGAGTTTGACATAGCAGGAAATAATTTCCTTGCAAAATTAATGACGTTAGTCTCGATTCGCGAAAGCTGTTATATCAAAACGAAAGTTGGGGCTCTGAGTTCGCACCGTAAAGTTCAGCGAGCGGTTTTATGAACGCGAAGATCGTTGATTTAGGATTTATACGAGAGACTTTAATGGACGGTGGACGACATTAAAGGAGGGAAGCATGCAAACACGGCCGGATATATAAATTCCATGGTTACGTGTATCTTCAACAAATCTTACGGAACTATGAAAATCTTTCACGCGATTCTAAGGGAAAAAAAAGAGACATATATTTTCGTGCAATTTCATTGCCTGGACGAAAGTTGAAGTCTGAAGAAAAATAATTGGATCGTATCAATCAGGTTGATGTCACGGATCAGTAATTGGCAATCATTTTAATTAATCGACCGAACCACGAAAGCCTCGAAATTGACCGTTTTCTCGACTTATTTTATAGAGTGAAATATATTATTTTATAACATGCTTAATTAAAATATTTGCAACTATGTAATTTATATTAGAACTTCTAATATCAAAGTTAATCTTGCGTCACTGAACGAATAGCCCTAGAGTTCTCGTTCGTGTCATGAATCGGTGAACACCAATCGTTTTACCCGATCAATTAAATTGTGAAAGTCACAGAACTACTAAAATTTTCCTCGCGTTTATATATTATGGAGCTGGACAAGTTTTCTAAGAAGTTTAATAAATATCAAACATTCATAAAACCTGAAATATAATTTTTGTTTGAATAAATTATCAAATTCTCTATGAACTTCCTACGTCCTGGATAGGCTATTCGTACCGCGAGTTTTCCGATAAACTTGAAAGCAAGTCGCATTTATTTTTCCCGCGACAGGAGCGTGGGTACGAAGCGTCACGACGCGGATGCACGTTTTATATACCGGCGGATTATTTTTGTTGGTCAGGAATCTCTCTCGGATCAGACGTCGAGAGTTAGCCTCCGTATATTTATGGCCGGCGTATCCTTCTCGCCGACTCTCTTGTATAAAAGCAGTTTAATGGATGGATCGAAGCGTGGATACCCGCGAACCTCTGTTCTCGCCGCTTGTCCTCCTCGAGACGCGGGAGTATTGGTATGTATCTAGAAAGGATCCCTTCTCTTCGACGCTGACGCAAAGACGCGGATCTTCAAGATCGATTCCATCGGATTTCAACGATTTTGTAATTAAAACGTTCTGACCGATGATACGCTTGGAGAAGAAAAACCAGAAATCGACAGATCCATCAAATACATTCCCCGCGACCCCATGAAATTCTCTCTATCGTTCGATACGTTCAATCGTTCGGTCGAAGCAAGAAAGCTTTAGATGCGTCCCTGATCGCGAGCGGAATTTTAAGAAAAGGGGACAAAGAAAGAGCGGAATGCGACGAGCGTGTTTCCACGGCGAGCCACGTCCAACAGATCCGTAGATCCAGATGTCGGTAATAGGGTTGCTGGATCGGGGCCCTTACCTAGTCTGCTGGATCCCGTATTTGATGCCAACGCCGACCCGCGGTAGCGCCTTGATCACCTTTTTCACCGTCGCCTGGTCCGGGAACGCGAACAGGATCGAGGCTGTGGACAAAAAGGCGTTAAAGCGCGGATTATAAGCGAACCCAATCTCGACGAAAGGGTCGCGTGTGTCAATCATTCGGAAAGAATGACAGGCAAGGACGCGTTTCTTACTCGCATCGTCAGTTTAACCCGTTCCTCTGCTAGCTGATGAGAAATCATTCAGGAAGCTAGCGAGAACGATTGGCTTCTCTGAATTAGTCGAATGATCCATGGCTGAGTTTATTACCGACGACTTTTTTCTGACAAGGAACCGCTAGTGATGATTTCAATTGTTTCAGTTAATTCATACTCTATCCTGTTATAAATGTGCACATTAAATTCATGGTATTTTTGCTCGATTAAGAGAAATGATTCATTGAAAGGAATTTCAATGTTAAGCATGCTTGGTAAATAGATTTCGAAGGTAGTTAAACGTGGAAATATGAAATGAGGGTACGGGAGGGACTTAATTTCATGGCTCTAATAGCATCGTCCACGTCGGTGAAGCTCCCTCGAGAGTTCAAAGGGTAGCGTGCACAGAAACAGTTACCATAAATACCGACGAGTAATTTATGTAACTCCGAATACAGGGCCAAAATATACGAGTCGGTCTTAATCAAGGAAGAAGGGAAATAAAAGACAGACGATCGCAGGCTGACGCCGAAAATCCTTAAAAATTCACCAATTAAGTAACAGTTCTTTTTAAAAAAAGAGAAGGCTTAAAATTTCTTAATATTTCCATCACTTTATCCGGTCATTGTATCTTACAACATCGTAAAGTGTCGGAAAAAGAACTGCTACCGTTGTATTCGTTTCAGAATGTAAAATTCTTCCGAATCACAGATAAAGAAGCATCTCGTAAAAATTCGTGAAAGTTACAACGGTGTAAGACGACTCGCTCGTATTTTTTTCTCGTTCGAGGATTTATTGCAAGGAAAGCGGGATCCTTCTCGTCGTGTCTCTCTCGATTAACGAACGTTTCCAGTAATTTTTTAATGAACGACGAAGGTACCTCGCTGCGGTTGACATTCCGCCGCTTCCACGGCGATCATCGAAAACTCGAGGGATCAGATTAGAATCAGAGAACCCACCGAGAAATTTATCTGCGGCCAACGAAGAAATAATCAGCAGGATTGCTGCCCCTCTCACAGGTATACGCAGCTACACAAGAACATTCGAACAGCAATATACGTTCACGATTAAAATAAATTTTATTTTATTTTTTTCTTTTTTCATCACGAAAATATTCCGTGTTTTACGCCCTTTGGACAAATTGATGAATATCATTTTTGCACTTTGATTCTGTTCGATTTAACAAGGGAAGTTTTATAGAATATCAAGTTAAAGAGTACGTTGAAACAATGATTTATCATTCGTTGAACGACGTGTCAAAAGACAACAGGTGAGATTGAAATCGAGCGATAAATCGGTAGAAAAACGAAATACCGTAACGCGACGTAGATATTTATTGCGTAAAAAGCAAAGAGGGTAGCACACCTCGCGGCGAGCTCAGCATTCCGTCTCCATTTTGCCGGATTAGATCACGCCGTGTGAAATAACGCAGAAAGGCACGGGCGAACGAGCAAGAAACGGAATGCGCGTCCTTCCTTTCGGTGGAAAGGACCCTGCCGCCGTTCCTTTGAAAACGAACCAAACAAATCGCACACGACTTACTTCTGCTGGCTAGGAAGATCTCGATGGCGACGTTCTGGAGCAAATACCGTCGCGAGAATATCGCTCGCACCTCCGAGAAGTACCATTTTCCGTGCAGATGGTCGCAGTATTTCAGCACCTGAAATCAAAACGGAAAATCGACATCGTTAAAAGGAATCGTGAAACTGAATTTCTTTTTTAATTACCAGCCACCGGTAATCGCCATGGCAGTTAACGTGTTAATTAGGTAATGCCAGTCAGAGTTTCGATTATACTACTTAATACCATTTCCGTACTCAACACCCCATTGAAAATCTTGAAAATCTAATTTGTAGAGTGATTCTGAAACACCTCATCGAGAATCCTGATAAGTCAGCTGAAAGTATGCTCTTGAATCATCGAATCTCTATCATCCAGTGTTCGGAACGTTTCGAAGGATAGAAAAAGCAGATGAAAGGAGTCGAAGGTAACCGGAAGCAATAGGGAACCTTTATCAAGGAAAGGTCCGAGGAACATCGAAGAAGGACGAGGTAAGGGTGCGATCGCATGGCTGACCGTAAGTATGCAACCTGGATCCAGTGAAGTGTGATGTGATATAGTGAGACCAGTGCCGGTTGCAAGATGGCCGTCATGGTAGGAGGAGCCTCCTGCTGAGCCGGGAATCGATCCCAGGACTTCGCGGACTTGCGCTCTAGAACGAGTCCGTGAACAACTCGTAGGCGAAAAGAGGGAGGGCAGGAAAAAGGACGAGGCAAAGGACAAGACACAAAGAAGGATCCAGGAAAGGGAGAGGAAGAGGGGAACCCAATTTACCGTCCTCCATCTAACAGGCCTTTCAATTTTTCCCTCTTTAATGAGCGGCCGCCGTCGCGATGTCCTTACGCGCGGCAAATGAAATTATCCTCGATATAATCCGCTGGAACGAGCAGATCCGCGTTTAACCTCTCGTCGTTGGAAACGCCGACGAGATCGTATCTGTCGTTGCTTCGACACTCGTCGAATTCCTTGTTCACGATGCTAATGGGAGCTTAGATCTGTTGCTCCGAGCATGGGTGAAACAGAGAGACACCAAAATTGATGCTCAGGGGTTGAAGACGGTGATAATGGGCACACCTTTGATTTTTGACTTGTTCGGTAAAGAGGAATGTCGACAGAGGTATCGAGAATAAGGCAGCGTGATAGATTCCCAGTCCAAGGCTGATTAATTGGCTGTATCCACTGTCGCTTTAATTTGAATGTTTTAGACTTTAGGAGAATTGTAAATGAGAATGATGAGAATGAATTATGAAATAGAATGAGAATGAAAGAGAATTGTTTTCTTAATTAAGAAAATTAAGATGTAAGATGCGGCGTTGAAAAGTAGGAATAGAGATGTTAAAAATAAAGGAAATATTAGAAATTCATGAACACTGGGTCAAAGTATCGACGAGGGCTCCCTAAGTCATCGGAAATCAAGTAAACACAGGAGATGACATTAGGGTGGCGAAGTGCAACGCACGCACATCGAAATCTAATTACGAACATATAAGCTGTTCTGACCCTCTGGGGACAATAAATGTCGCGTCAACTCCGAAAGATTAAGTAAAACGCGTGTTGTTTGCGTTAATAAATTGTCGAAGAAATTGTTTTTAATTTTGTCATCAAAGAATAGTGAAAATTCGACGAATACAATAATGAAGATAATTATTAATACAATATTGAAAATGCTAACTATTGTAAATTTTATCTATGAAAATGTCCAGCGGTAATGTTACAGCCGATTCCATGCGCGAGATTGCGAGAGAGGAGTCGGGGGGGGTGGTTGCACAGAGCCAACCCCTAAGCGCGATTGCGCAAGCTCTCTGCAAACACTGCTTAAAACTGATAACAGCCACACCGTGATATCGAATTCATTACTCGGATGAATCTCGATGTAGATACAACATGTATCGAGTATTTTATCTACAGAAAACTTCTAAAATTTGGACCCCAAAAAAGAAATGAGTCGTTGAAACAACGAAATCACCCCTGTTTCCGACGTGTCACTCGGGAGCGGCACTATTCTCTCGCGACTAATATGTTTACACGTTCGATGAACCGTCGAAAGTGTAGCTTGCTGGACGGGAGCGTGGTTAAAAAGAGCTGCAACACCGGTGGAGTGTCAAGTGGTACACGATTAGTGTTCCCCATGCGGTGTTCATCTCCACGAGATCGAGCGAGCGGAACCTCGCTGAGCTTCCACCACGACAATAGGCATCGTGATGTAACAACATGTGTCGCGTTCACAAGGCCCCCTTGCTGGTTGCCTCTACATACACCATAGGGCACCGTAGAATGGGGACCACTTAGCAGCCCGCCGGCGGTATACAACAAACAGATTAAGCAGCGGACAATAATAGACCCCCTGCTCGCTTTGCACGACTGGACGTCTACCAGCACCCTCTCGATTCTTCTTCTAAGTGCGAACCACTCGAAATCACGATAGCTTGTTGGTACAGCAAGCATTGCTTTGCTGTTTTATCCGAGTCGGCATACCGAACGTTGTAAGTGGCTCGATCATTAATTACCCGTGATCATTTGTACCCACTGGGGAGAAGAATCGAACCCCACTGAAAATTTCTTGCTGATGCGATCATGATATTTTCATGGAAATTCAATTTAGAATATTGCTGGTCATTTTATCTGTGCAGGTTTAGGTAGAAATTGATGATGGATATAATTTAATCAAATTTGAAGCAGGGAAACGAGAATTAAAATAACATAGTAAAAATGTAACAGTAGCAAGCTAAGAGCATCGAGCTTCAAAAATCGTGTCTCCAGCTCGCTACATCGACCCTCCTTTCGTGAACGCGCAGGCCGATGGGTCGAAAACATTCGAGACCCATCAAGACGATCCGCAGCGACAATGAATTATGCGTGCCACGTGCGTGTTCTCATACCTTTATTGCCACACCTCACACGAGATAACGCATACGAGAAACTGCCGAAGACGTAACTGGTACAGCCAACCCTAACTTCCTGTTATATCAATTACAAATGAAAAATTAGTAACTGTGCAGAGTACATTAAACAAAACTCTCAAAGATAATGCTATTAACAATCTCTCGTTAATTACAAGAAGAAAAAAAAACGAAGAGAATTTTTAACGCTATTAAAACGTTCGTAAATTGGTCTTTAACGATCCTCGAAGAGCCTTATTATCGCATGTCTTACCATGCGTGGATATTTCTACTGCGCCAGTAGAAACAATTAATACTTATCGAACGTCGCATCATGGTTGCTTCGAGTTCATGAAAATCGTTTATAAATTTTTCTTTTCTGGCTAGTATCGTATACGACGCAGAATTTTCTTCGTCCGTGTCGAATTGTAAGATTCGATGCGTATTTCTCGTGTCATTAAACAAGGAAACCGTGAAATACGTACTGCACCGTGGCAGTGTCTAGTTTTGCCGGCTGCCAGAGCTCAACGACTGAGCCTAGGATTATTCAGGGATTACACGAGGATGTTCATTCGAGCTGATTTACAAGGCCGACTCGATCTGCCGTCTTCATCGGCTCGGTTGCCTGTCTGAGAGGGTCCTCGTCGTTTTTCGCTCGAAAACATTACACAATGAGCAGGACGCAATAGCTGCTCTTATACCTGCCGCTGTGTAAAACGAGCTCTCGAGGAATGTTTTGGCAAAATCTATTTTACCTAGGACTGCTCTTTTTCAACGGACATGGAGGTCTGATCGGCCTATTAGATATACTCGACTGAACTTAAACGCGGTAGAAACGTTCCTTGATACTTTTCTGAACCATGAAAATATTTTACAGACCGAGTTTTAATTGCACATCGACATTTTTTTAAAGTTGATCTCTGGATCTGAATAATTTATTTGAGTTTCCTATACGCACCATATAATTTGCATACACTTTGTATATTTTGATATGCTATAAATGCATAAATATTCGCAGTTTATTTATAAGCTATCAGTAAGTAGTTTCTAATCGTATCTATATTAACTGCAATACCCTTGCATAATTTATTAATTTCCTGTACGTGTTGAACTTTAATTATACAGAACTTGATAATTATTTCGTACCAAGATACAAAGTTGAACTAAAACACCTTCAAGAAGTTATTTAATATCGTCTTATTTTGTCGATAGTTTGCGCGATGCTTCCGGTCGAACGAGAAACTCACCCCTCTTCGCTCACCCTTCGCCTTTCCAAATGAAAGATGGTCTCACAGAGGCGTCATTTCGAAACTGAACCCCGGCTACATCTCGTGGGTGTACAAATAATTCAGATGATAAACGAATTAAGTCGAAATGGGATGATGAAAGGCACGTTTAGGGCACAACGAGACCCCGGGTTTGTGCATTAACGCGAGGGTTGATGTAGCAGAACGTTTGACCCCTCGTCTCTTACGCGAAAACACTGACACAGAGAGGAACGAAGAAGAGTAGAGACGAAGAGAGAGAAACACGTGCTCGACTCATGAATCAAGTCGTATTAGTGAGAGCATAGCGAGCCTGCTGGGCACCGATCTACTACTCCAGCTTCAAGTAGATTGGATTTCTGGACTTTATTCAATTATACGGGAACGAGGCGAACGAAACGAATAGAAGCGCGTCGTTGAGGGTGTTCTGCAAATAATACGAGATCAGTCACGAGAATCGTAACCATTGAGAACGCATCATTATGTAAATTGAAATATTTTTAATTTAATAAATGCCTATTGCACCTTAATTGTATATTTGCATCTGCAGAAAATCAAGATCTACTTCTGCAAACACCAATAGAAAGCAATCTTTTCATCAAAGTTGAACACCAAAACCGTGTATCAAATGAAATATTGAATATTTTTCAAAATAATAAAAGGGTTAAACAGATCTAAAGCAAGAAAAGGAGGGCCGTTTATCGTCACAGAGAGGTTGTAATCTCTGGAATCTTATGGGGCATTCGGTGTATGGGATATCTTGGTGGGTTATCGATGTTTTCAGGCACTGGTATTGTACGCACCGCAGGTTTTTACGATCGGGACATAAAAGGGAGCTCGGAAATGGTGTATCTCCCGATGATTGCTCGCTATTTTTCGCCGTGAACATCTGCCATCGCTAGCTAAGCTGCGGAGGCAGTTTTTCATTCGTGAACAAAGAGGAAAACGTCTCGACACGCTCGCTAACGGCGAGTTTCTGTTTCTTATTCGAACGTCGAATATTCAAATGACGCTCGCGATGGAATTATCGAGTCGAACGATCGTGCATGGAATCCCCATGCGACCCCATCAGCCGAACAATGCGTTCTCGAGAGGCTTGTTTTCGCCCTAAGAATTCATTCGCAGGAGAATCGATGGCTCGATAATAAGTCACGCGTTGATGTCTCTAACAAAACAAAGGAAACATTCAAAAGAAAAAATTATTACTTTCCTTGTATTGTTCATCGAAATTAACACCAACTGTGTACCTAACAAATTCTTTCACGAACTTTAAAAAAAAAGATTCTAGGCTAAAATTCCATAAAGTTAATTCGTGAAACTAATATATCATTCTTAAAATATGAACATTTAAAGTTTATAAATCTCCACCCCTATCGACGTAACTTGCTACCCCATGATGTTTTGCATTGTTTTCCGAAAGTTTTGCGCCTGTCCATTCCAAATCGAGTAAGTACCAGCCTCCGCTTACACACGATAACCCACAGTTTAACAGCGATGCGAACCGCGTAAATTTTCCTTGCGTACGGAATGAAAAATTCGGCGGATCGAAGGGGTGAGAAGCAGGGGGTGATGGTAGCGCGCGACGAATAACCGCGACCGAACGGCGAGAAAGCCGAGTCAGGAGAGGAGGAACGGAAGGTGGAGGCGTGGCGAGAACGCGCACGCTCCACGTGACCGCGTCGTTCCGGAAGGCGGGACCGTGGAAGCCGGCACACAACTACAAGGGCAGCGGTACGAGCCGGTGGTCATCGGTGCTCTCTCTGTCGTCGCGCGCGCGGAACACCTCGAGAGTCGCGCTTGTTCCACGTACAACACCTGCCGTTCACGATTGCTCGTTCGTACACGCCGGTGTCCGTTCATCCGTGACTGCTTTCTCGAAAGTGTCCGCCGCTGGTTCGCGCGCGAATCGCCGTCGTTCCCTGATCGCCGATCCTAACGAGGGACCATCGATCGATCAGACTTTCGGGACAAGCGAAGACAAAACCCGGAGGACCATGGATGGGAAGAGCGCGTTGATCGGGTTGACACTCGTTCACGCGATAGAATGAGACTGATCGAGCAAAGAGAAAGCAGGAAGTACCATCGTTATCGGTCACAGTTCGACGCGGCAACATGCTGCTGCCGCAGGACATGATGGCAGCCCAGTCGAAGATGCTCTACCAGATGAACAAGTACTACGGTGAACGAGTGCAAGCTCGTATGGGTCAAGTACAAAAGACCATCAGGGAAGTGTGCAAGGTGGTACAGGACGTGCTTAAGGAGGTGGAGGTTCAAGAGCCTCGGTTTATCTCGTCGTTGACCGAGTGCAACGGCCGCTACGAGGGCCTCGAGGTGATTTCGCCAGGTGAATTCGAGGTGGTCCTCTACCTGAATCAGATGGGAGTGTTCAACTTCGTCGACGACGGCACCCTGCCGGGTTGCGCCGTTCTGAAGCTCAGCGACGGACGCAAGAGGTCCATGTCGCTTTGGGTCGAATTCATCACCGCCTCCGGTTACCTGTCCGCCAGGAAGATCCGATCGAGATTTCAGACCCTGGTGGCGCAAGCCTGCGACAAGTGCGCATACAGGGACTCGGTGAAGATGATAGCCGACACCACCGAGGTCAAGCTACGAATCAGGGAGAGATACGTGGTGCAAATTACGCCAGCGTTCAAGTGTTCGGGCGTGTGGCCCAGATCGGCGGCCCATTGGCCGATTCCACATATACCATGGCCACATCCAAACCTGGTGGCCGAGGTCAAAACGGAAGGATTTGATTTGTTATCCAAGGAGAGCGTGGCTCTTCAGGGTAAACAATCCGCGATGGAAGGCGACGCTTGGGTCTTGTCTTTCACAGAGGCAGAGACGAGACTGCTTCAAGGCGGTTGTCGCAGACGATGCTTGAGCATATTGAAAACTCTGAGGGACAGACACCTCGATCTTCCCGGAAATCCGGTGACCAGCTATCACATGAAAACCTTGTTACTCTACGAATGCGAGAAGCATCCCCTGGAGACCGAATGGGACGAAGGATGCTTAGCTGACCGTATTAACGGTATTTTCCTGCAGCTGATATCCTGTCTTCAATGTCGAAGATGTCCCCATTATTTCCTACCCAATTTGGATCTGTTCAAAGGGAAATCACCGAGTGGTCTAGAAAATGCCGCGAAACAAGTGTGGAGACTCACCAGAGAGTTGTTGACCAACAGCCGTGCTCTAGAAAAGCTTTAGCGGGATTTCTTTAGAGAGAAAGAGAAAGGTGAAGCGAGAGTATCGCGTCGAAGGATTCGGTGACTCGCAGGAATCACGATTTTTGGAATATCGCGACGGTTCTTTGCCCGCTTTTTACCCTCGCTTTCCAATTTGAAAAGTCTACTTTCACTCGTTACTTTTCTTAGCGTACGCTTCAACATATCGGGATATGGGAATGGTTTAACGAACCTCGTAAAGCATAATTGTATACGATTGTTCTCCTTTTTCTGAAAAATCAGACTTTCATTATTGGTGCAACGCCTGGTTCCAGTGCAATCTCGTATTATCAATGTTTTATTTCTCGCGAAAATAATTGTTGCTAGGTTTTATTTTAGTTTTATGCCGATCACTGTTTCGTTAAAATGGAGAACGTTAAATTTTCTGCAATTTGGATAGATCGTTATTCGACGCGTCCACCGAATCACTAAGGATGTGCACTTTTGAAAATATTCTTACGTGTTTTTTATACAACTAAAAAGCTTTCGCCTGAAGCGGAATCTCGTGCTTACTAACGCAAATTAGACGGTGTTCACGCACCGAGTTACCTGTAATTAAGCGTTAAAATATATGAACGGTTAATTAACTACTTCGTTAGCTGCTCTTACCCATCTAATGGCTCATGTGAATCGTCGTGTGATACGTTGTCGTTAATTAATCTAATGTTTATAATCGGTCAGCGACCAGCTATCGACGGTAGTCCGACTACGTATTGTTGTATGTACATACTTTTTTACATTATTTAAACGATATTTATTTTTACTCGAATCGCTGTTCGAACACACTATGTAAATAATTAATAAATGCATCTCATCCCATACTAAATGCTCGTTGCTTATTCACGACCCTTTATAACATCAAGAAGTCACTATCCGATGTAATTAAACCTTTATTAAATACATTTTTACACCATTCAATTAGCCTATCTGTAAAATAACCATAACTCATATAAATTTTAATGATAATTGAATCATAAATATCCAACGTTTCCTTTCTCCCCCTATGTACAATTCTTTTCCAGGAATTTAATTCTCCAATATTTTGAATAGCACATTTTTAGTGTGAGATTTAATTGAAACAAGTGATAGGTCGTAAATTTTCCCGGGAATGTTATTTTCCGTCAGTCGCTTTGCCGACAGCTTTCTTCCGCGATAGTCTGTATTCAAATAATTTGTATGTCCTGAACGGTAACAAGAAATTCTTCAAAGTCAATTAAATTCGGCCGATCTGGTCGGACAAGAATATAAAATCATTGGAGCATAATTATTATCTACGATATTAACACTTGTGCACGCGTTAGTAGGAGATTGAAACGCCTCGTCAGGGGCATCGCTACCGAGTTTCATGGCCACTATACGCCTACGGGGCACGGACGTGTCCCTTATCTTAATTCTCCCTTGAAATTTCCGCCCTTATCTTTTCACCGCAATGACATTCATTAGCCGGTGCCACTCAGTTTCTACAGGGCACCGCGTGGCCCGCGCAATCGTTCGGAAATTTACGTTATTATTATTGCCCCGTAAAACAAAGTGAGAGGAAAACGTTTCCACGGCGAACGCGCGCGCTAGCGTCCAGTCACACTTTACGCGCGCCGTATCGCGCACTTCCTTCGCGATTTACAAGCCTTAATGGGTAGAGTTATCGTTGCCGTCGTTAAATGTAGATTTTTATACTTTTTCCATCGCGTCCGGCCCTCAATAAAATGGCTGTAAATAAAACGTCCCCTGAACACAAGTTCTCTGATAATTTAACATTTTATTCTCGTCATATCAAGCGCAAATTTCTTACTTTAGTCACGCAGGAATTCGACTTGCGTTTCTTCAACTTTTCGTCGAGAACACAGGCAGAACATGTTTCTTATTCGATGTTTTGATCGACCCAAGAGTGTTTAACGACAATGAAGAAGAACGGCGAACGAAGTTGAAAAAGAGGCTTTAAATCGGAGGAGGATCGAGTTTGGAGGTACCCAAGCGTGATCCCTGTGGATCACGAAGCCTCCACCATGACGAAAATTTCGGGGCTTACTCGAAGGGGTTGCGGAGGAATGGCCGAGTCCCGTGTGCCCGCGGACAGGAAATAAAACGAGTCGAATCTGCATAATTCATGGGGTAAGAGGGGTTCGCGTTTGGGGTTAGCCGCCGTGCTACCTTCGTCCTTCAATGTTCGTGTAACGTATAGGTAGAACGGGTCGCGCGGATCGATCCAGTCGGGTTTGCCGCGGTTGGCCACGCCTGTGCGGCTCGCGAGCCACGCGATTGGTCGAACCGCACGGTTCGGGGCGGAGCCTGTTGAAGGTGATCGCCACGACCCGCCGCACGCCTTCGTATGGTTCGAAGAGCGGGTGGCGCGGAGGAGGTGAACGACAGCGCAGTCGACAATCTGCTCCTGCACGGAGTCGCTCGCACACCTTTTCCTCCCGCTGCTCGTTCGTATCACCGCCGTTAACCCGGCGTCCCTTTGCGACGCGACGCGCGATCAGTCTCGACCGCTATTATTTTCATCTTCCCAACGAAGAGACTTGGCAATTTGAAGAGGAAAAGTTTCTCGATACAGCAAGGACGTTACAAATGGAAAAGGGACGGACCGCAAAGTGCGGTTAAAATCAGGGGAAAAAAAGGTGAAGGAGTTTCGGGGCAGAATGCGGTGATCTACAGTTGAAACCTCGAAGAAAGAAGCCTTCGAAGGCTTCAGATCGCCGCAACCATGTTGTTGCCGGCCGATATGCTGGCGGCCCAGTCCAAGATGGTATACCAGATCAACAAGTACTTTGGGGAGCGTGTAATGACCAGGAAGAGTCAAGTGATGAAGACGATCCAAGAAGTGTGCCGGGTGGTGCAGGACGTGCTGAAGGAAGTAGAGGTTCAAGAGCCTCGGTTCATCTCGTCGTTGACCGACTACAACGGTCGTTTCGACGGTCTCGACGTGATCTCCCCGACGGAATTCGAGATCGTGATCTATCTTAACCAAATGGGAGTTTTGAATTTCGTGGACGACGGCACGTTGCCAGGTTGCGCGGTGCTGAAGCTCAGCGACGGTCGAAAGAGGTCTATGTCCCTTTGGGTCGAATTCATCACCGCCTCCGGTTACCTGTCCGCCAGGAAGATCCGTTCGAGATTTCAGACCTTGGTGGCGCAAGCTTGCGACAAGTGTGCCTATAGGGATTCGGTGAAGATGATCGCGGACACGACCGAAGTGAAGCTTCGCATCAGGGAGAGATACGTGGTGCAGATCACACCGGCGTTCAAGTGTGCCGGACTTTGGCCAAGATCGGCCTCTCATTGGCCGATAGCGCACATATCTTGGCCGCATCCTAATATCGTAGCCGAAGTGAAAACAGAAGGATTCGACATGTTGTCGAAAGAATGCATAGGACTGCAAGGGAAGCAATCAGCGATGGAGGGCGACGCATGGGCGTTGTCTTTCATTGATGCCGAGAATCGTCTGCTCCAAGGTGGCAGTCGTAAACGTTGTCTGAGTATCCTGAAGACTCTTAGGGACAGACATCTCGATCTACCTGGCAATCCTGTCACCAGCTATCACATGAAAACCTTACTGCTGTACGAGTGCGAGAAACACCCTCACGAGGCTGAATGGGACGAGACGTGCATCGGGGACCGCATCAACGGAATATTATTGCAACTGATCTCTTGCCTGCAGTGCCGCAGGTGCCCTCATTATTTCTTGCCAAATCTCGATTTGTTCAAGGGAAAATCACCCAGTGGATTGGAGAACGCGGCCAAACAAGTGTGGAGACTCACCAGGGAACTTCTTACGAACAGTCGCGCCTTGGAGAAGCTGTAGTGAAAGAAATATTTCGATTCACCTGGGGATTCGAGAAGCCCTTTTTAGAAACTTCATCAAAAGGGGTCGTGTGTATCGATGCGACCACTTACGAATTGTAGAAAAATGATGTGACAATGAGATTCTGCTAGGGAGATTATGTTAATTATTATTCTCTGGACAAGCAGTCTGAATCTGTGGGAGAATTTTCGAGATGGCTTAAAGCAAACTGGAAGGTGTATTCATCGAATACTTTCGTTCAAAAGACGCTTGGTGTGTGTTTGCAATGCAAGGATGATCGCTCGGTGCGTGTGTGATTATTTTGTGGTCCACGGAGCCCGGGGACGATTTTGAACCAGTGCCATAAAATACGACGAGGTTGAATTTTCGAACACGACCGTTCTTTGTCGTAAGGGAGTCGCCGTCGGACAGCTACATCGAATCACGATACCCTGCGATCTAATTCTTAACCGGTGATATTCATGTTCACTTTCAAATTACACGTACGATGATCAAGGAAGAATCGTGATACGTTCGAACATAGTTCAATGGAATATATTCGCGAAATTGTTGAGATTGTGTTGAAAAAGGGAGCGCAAGAAGTCACTGGTTACGGGTTACTTTAGTCCCTCTGTTTTAATCGATCTATCCTGTCCCCCGACGCTATGTAAATACTACTCAAAAGATATTTATTGAAAGTGTACACGAGAATGTGAAATACAATGCTATTTATATGGAACCATAGTCACGGTGGCTGTCGTCATTTCTCGCCTCGAAAATAATACACCCACTCCTCACCTATGAATTTGCTGGAAAATCAAACTAAACGACACACGTTTATTCGAATGCCATTAACAAATTCAAAATATTTGCAAAGTGAAATGAATTGTGTAAAATATCCAAATGATTCGACATTCTACGAGTTGCTTAAAAATTTTCAGAAAAGAAAATTCCCATCAGTAGATTAGGCCTCGTAAATTTTGCAATCCATTTCGCGCTTTTTTGTTTCGAGCCACTGGGGATTGAAGGAAACATTCGAATTTCACTCGCGAATAACATTCCAACGACCGATTCAATTTTGTTGCGACCAGACGGAATATTTAACTGTTTGTCTGCTTTTTTCCATTTGTTTTCGTTAAAACTCCGATAAGAAAATAGAAATTATTGTTGAAATGTCACACCCATGCATGTACAAAATTCTAATAAAATTAAAAGAAAATTATTATACTCATTCGGTTATAATTTTAGCTTCGCAGTCAAACGTTTAAATCAATTTACATTTCGTCATAAATAGTCTGATATGTGTCGTTTCTGTTGTGTTTTGTCTAACAGAATTTTATCATTGCGAATTCTTTTCTATTCGTCCTTCGTACAGTTCGGTGGAAAGATAAAAATACACGGAAACGATGGCTTATTCAACAAATAAGTTTTTTACCTATTTCTAAAATTGTAAATATTTCTATTTAAAGGTTCATTAAAATCTATTTGATTAATTTACTCGGGCTACGTATTTCATACTTATTAGCCCATATTTATTCAAATTACTTGACGTATAACTTTTAAAACTGAGACTGATGAAGGAAAGCACCTAGTCACCTAGCTACTCGTTTTACAGGTCGATAAGAAAATTATATCTTATCGGGACAGGTTTGCGTTATTTATTTATCATTAGACAGCGTTTACATTCGCTCCAGTCATTTTCAAGCCAACTAACGTATCTATTGTATAGACTAAGAAACAGAGATAATTTTCAGAAAATAACCCTATGCCTGAAGTCTATGATTTTCGTGACAAGAAATAACCAACGACTAGGTGTCGTGCTACGAATGAAGATATTATACGGGGTGTCTTGTAACGAATGAAAGATACCAAGAAGGAGTTGCTTATTCCGTGCCAAAGCGAATTGAAAATACAGAATATATTTTTTTATATAAAAATTGATAAATGTCTGTGATTGTAAAAGTAACCCTTTTCTCATTATCAAATTCTTAATTTATAAACAGATAAAGAGTTGAAGTCAAAATATTTTAATGGAAGTTCGCTGTTTCGTTATAAACAATAGCTATCTTTCGAAATACGGAACAAAAATTTTTTTTAAAATAGTGATGGAAGCGTAACACTGTCGTTTTAATGACAAAAGTAAATATTCCCAAACGTGAAACGCGGTATTCGGTGCGTGTAATCGATTTTAAGCACAGTGTTGATGGTAACATCCGCGTAACTGACGGGAACGAGCGTAAAACTGGCAGCAACTTAAACAACAATCACTAATATCCATGTTTACCGTGCGTGTATCAGAGAAACTTCAAAATAGTCTGGAAAACTATGCGTGCGCGTAATGTATGCGAACAACTAGCAAAATCCGCTGCTACGTTTCAATAAATGTCCGTCCGAATGATGTTGATTATCGGTTAAGAAATATTGATAGGTTAATTAATATAGCTGTCTAATATGCGATCGAATCTAATATATCATTGCTTATGACTACTACACAATTTAGATGATTTCTAGTATGACACATGTTGGAAAACTTGTGGAAAACGTGTTGAGTGATCTTGACGTATGTATATCATTCGATTGCTAATTTTGTATTTTGATGATTATTTCTTTATACAGTTTATTGAAGATTTTATCAAGATTTACTGTAGATTTTGAAAATTATTTATCATTTGTTAAAATCTTACCTTGGAATTATTGGTTTGACGTAAGTACTTTGTTTTGTTATTGGTAATTAAAATGTAAATAAAATGCTGATAAATATAAATACTTTATCATTGCAAGGTCAGTTAGAAAGGTTCAACAAAATGTTACAGGTTCAGTCAAAGCATCGTAAAATATATTTTAACGAGAAAAACACTGCAATCATCGCCAATTTATTCTAAATTATTGATTTATACGACGTTTGCGCGTTTTATTACAAGGAGTTACGTCAATGACCAATTTATTTAAAAAAATGTACGGTGAATTTAATCTCTAATAAACGTTGTAAAAATTGTATTACGTACAACTACATAAATTATAACAGTAAAAATCACTGTTTATTGAAATACTGCTACACAATTTTTTTAGAAGAATTTTGTTTATACCTCCTAATAATCAACATTATTATCATGATTTAAATTCCTGAATCTATTAATCAAGTTTATCCTTCAAATAAAACCTGAAGATGACAAATTGCAAATTTTCGTGAAAACCTTGCGTGTTTCTAGCTCTTTAATTGTAAGATCGACAAAAATGTCGCTGTGCTACCGAAACGCACGAAAAATGTTCAAAGAAACGAATAAACATGCAATTTCTGCAATTAACAAAAAAGATAAAAATAAAGACGAATAATACATATACGTGAAAGTTGATAAATTTTTTCCAAATTTATAATTTTTTAGCGTGAACACTATCACCGATCCCTCGTGGCGATTCATGGATTAAACACTGAGCAGTCATGCGTGCGACAAATTACTACGGTGAATAAATTTACATATTTATCTGGTTATTACTGCGACTTTCAGAATAAGGAAAACAAAAGTTGGTTCTTTCGAAAACCTTGACCAGCTACAGTACGCGTACGTGCTAACTACAACCACACATGTCACGATACATTACTCCAAGTCTATAAAATCTAGTGCAGTAAAACTGACTTGATAGGTTTCAATTTACTTGATCGTTAATAAAAAGTTGCACGAGTTTCAATCGATGCAAATATTAAAAATAATAAATTCATATTATGTACGTTGTAACTACTCGAGGTAGAAAAATTATTCAATTATTTGAGAAAAAATTTCAATTATATACACGTAGCATTAATTTTTAGTTGACTAATTGTAAGTTACATAGTACTTCATGTAACTCATAATCAGTTATTATTTCTAATTTGATACAACAGTTTATTAAAATTTTCAAATATTAAGTTTTTGCATCGATGTCCATCCCACTCCAGAGGGTGTCAAACGAGATAACGATCAACCCTCACCTCTATGGTACGGAATTTCACATGCACAACGGAATAAGCAAAATTTTCGATCCAGGATACGATCAATCGATCGAAGTCGATGAAGCCACGTAGAGAAGAGTTTAATGAGAGGCAGAGTCTCGGTCCGCGAGATAAGCGCAGCTCTCGGGTGTATCCTGCAACACGGTGCATTCATCCATGCATTCCTGTCCGGTTTCCTCCTTTTCTGCCTTCTGTTCTCTCCTGACCCCTCCCCGACCAATCTACCGTCTTTGATACCGCGCAACTCGCTCCTTCTGTTTCTCTCTGCCAACTTCCCTGTCTCCTCTTCCTGCTCGCGGCTTTCTCGCATCGTATTCCATGGATTTTCTCATCCTTGTCTCCTGCTGGATCGCACTCGCTCTACCGCGTCGTCCACCCCCGGCTTTTGTCTTATTATTTTGTCGGCGCGAGCGGCCAACAGGTATACCTCTCCTACACGCCACTCTCCTCTCCTCTCTCTCGTTGCGATCCCCGCATATAAACATCGCGGCTTTATCTGAGCGTTTTATAGCGAAGGTCCCAGCAACCGAGGGGACCGACTGCCCCGAAGAACGAGAAGGCTCTGCATCCTGCCCACTCTGCCTACGCTCTTCTCTTCTTTTCTTTGTCTCTCTCTTTGAACTCTCCTTTTTCTTTCTTTATTTGTTTCGGTGTATTTAATAGAAATGGGATCGGAGGACATTGCAAGTTCGGATCTGATGGATATTTCGAAGCGAGTCGACTATAATTTTATATCGAAGGTAAAGGACCGAAACAGCGACGGAACCAGCGATACGTTCACGAAATGGAGACGAGCATTTATCAGAGCCGCGGTATAATTATTTTAACGGACCCTGTCCATTCGTTTCATTGTCAGTGGTGTCGCGTCCACGATATCCTCGAGTTTTATTGGCGATCCTGCCGGCGGTCACCCTTCACCCCTTTCGGCCGTTCCAGTGAAACAGGAGAAAAAGGGCAGGCAGAGGGCCCTCACCTACCGATCGGTAACGCGATACCCCACCAACGATTCCTTTTTCTCCTGGTGCACGCGCGTCTTCGCAAGACCAAGCAGCGACACGCTGAGACCGCTCCGAGAGACTCGAAGCCGGCAAAACGAGATTATAAAAATAACGCGTGTATCCCCGCTAGCACCCTCGTCCGAGTCGCGACTCCAAATCATGTCGAAAACAGGGGGAGAATATAGACTTTGAAATTTGAAACTTTTTCAGAATCGCAGGGTGGCATGGCGGTGTGGATGAGATTGAACAGATACGCTTCAAAGATAAGCTCTGTTCGAGAATTTACGTCGATTGCGATTTTCACGTTAATTTAATTTTATGGATTACATTGTGCAAGGGTCTCGACACGATACTTGAATAATCTGCCTGGTAAGAGGAATTTACGCAACGATGGGATTCGCGATCATTTTTAACGCGTACTTTGCAGGTTTCGCTCCAACTGAGCGTAAAAACCGATCAAGAAACTCGATTAGGTGCTAATCAACAAACTACGATAGATTGTATGTACTATAATTAACAACATAGAATGTTGGTTGAAGTATCATGTAGTTTGTGTAAAATATGATAATTGCATAATTGAATTTTCAACGAGGAAACTGGCAAGATATGAATTTAGAAAGGAAGGATCTTATTATATGAACTGACACGATAGCTTGATTTTATAGTAGATAAGAATATTTCAAGGAATTAGATTTTTATTTATCGTTAAGTTTGCTACAATGTACGAAAACGTATCTCAAGTGTCTGTTCCTTCGTGGGGTCACATGTGCGCTCCCGCCACCGTGATACTCGCCCCGTGGTGCTCGAGGACCACTTACCGGCGACATTATCCTACGAACCGTCGCAGCTTTATGAGCAAAACCACTTAGCGTATCGCTGGTACACGGGGGGTTGCGGGTCATCGCATGCGTTTGAAACATTGACGAAGGGAAACAGGGTTGACACGCGGCATCTCGAACGTATGAAAATATCGTCACGCGAAATCCTGTGGAGCAACGCTCGCGAAACGACGAACAACGAGTTGCTTGATCGAACAAAAAGCCTCCCGAGGAGCATTAAGGTTTAGCGCATCAAAGAAGAATCATATTGTCACGCGAGCAACCTTCCACAGTTGGCGCCATGTAGCTCAACGTTTTTTCCCTGATTTTTCTACTAGTGAACAGACTACTCGGCAAAAAGTCCCGAGAAGCTGTCGAGAATCGCTGGAAAACGCGAGAAATCGAGAAACAGATACACAGGGTGTCTCGGACAAGATCTACACCGTGAAAAGTGAAGATCCTTCGTGGAATTAACGAAATATATCCCTTTAAGCCGTCACTAATCACTTGATTCGAAGTAATTCGCCTACACACGACGAAGGAATTTTTTATTCGACGCGTTTAAGTGCCCGGGGATAAACGAAACGAGCTTTCGGGACATCGAAACATAAGATAACCAAACTGGCTGGATAATCTCTCGTTTATGAAGTTCACCAAGGAGCAGTTATCGCCGTGGCGAACGAGTACCATCTAACATCATCCTCTCGATGTTGTTTCCACGATCGTCCACTGTGTTGCTCGAATACGATGAAACACACAGTGGAGGCAATTAACCGCCCAGCGCAGCGGTTCAATGCTTTCAGTTATTCGAACGTCGGATTAAAAAGTAACTCCCGAGTGCTATTTTACGATCTCTCCGGTGATAACTGGTAAGAAAGACATCAAATTAACCAGAGATTCTGTAAAGTTCAAACACGTTTACGTTATTGTATATCAAGAATTAATGAGAAGAAATGTACAGCTGCTAATCGAATCAGGATAGAAATCATTTTCCAGGGCGAAATAAGACAAGCAGTAATTGCAATTTGAAACCCAGTAATTGAACCATTAAACACTGTATTCATTTCATTATTTCATTTTACATAAAGGACATATCGAAAAGTTTATATTACAAGCTAGCAGACAGGCCGGGTTGTTAAGCTGCCACGAGTGCGTTAAGCGTGAATAAAAAACGAATTCGAACGAAACTAGCCTCCGTTTCAGGATTGCCACACTCTCGTAGCCGAAGATAACGACTCTCGAGTGGGTGAGAAAAATGTCACAGGCATCCGGTGATCTGGCTAATGTTTCAAGGGTGCACGAAGCGGGTTCTGGCGTTGAACGAGCGGCGCCCTTTGTTCTCGCCGCGTCTAAACACCGCTCTTCGGGATCCATCGTGCCTCCTACGCGTCCACTGTCACACGTATTAGGGCGAATGCGTTGAAAACGCGTTTGAATAAATCACAGCGCCGATCTTCCGGACGGTTTGCTCTCTAGCAACCCTCGAATCGTAACTTTAACGCGACCGGTAGATTTTAAACGCGAAAGAAAGCCGGCCCTAAGTGCTACAAGCTTTTAAGGGCTCCTCGAACGATGATAACAAGCGCGAACGTGTTTCTAGGATCGTTATTAACGCGACACTGCTGGAACTGCGTGCTCAAGGTGAAAAATACCGTGGTTGATTGAATAATTCAGTGGTGGGAAGCAACGGGGCGCATGGGTGTTTTCTTTATGACGAGAAACACTCTTGGTTATTAAAATCGAGGACCCAGCCACGTGGCATCATCATTTTTCCAACGTAATCTTGCGAAAAAATTTACTCACGGGAACTATATTTTATTCACTGAGCTTGGGTAAATTAAAATAAACGATCGTGGTCTCCTGTGGATATCTGATCGATTTAAGTTTGTAAATTTTTACGCAACTGATAAAATTGATAGAATAATTTCTACGAAATTGTTACATTAATTACTTTCGTCGTAATAAATGTACCTTCCATTCGTTACGTTAAAAGGGGTAAATAAATTGAATCATCCTCCAAGCGACGACCTCTTTGGCATCGTTACCAGAGAAAGGGGTAAAGGAGGAGTTAAGCGTAGAGAAAATATAATCTATCATCCACGAATGAAACAAACAGAAGTGATTTTCATTATACAACACTTAACATATTAATTCTAATGAGTTCGATTAAGTGCACTTTTTGTTATAGCATCATGGAAATCTTTGAAATTTTTATATAGCTTTCCTTTTTTCCCCCCTCATTGCCATTTACCTCTAGTTGATCATTTTAAATATGCTTTAAAACAAAAAAAAAGGGGGAAGACTAAGTTTCTGTTATTCGATGCATGGGTGTTACTAACTATTATTATGACCACCACAGTATTTATTTGTTAACCCTTTCGATAAAAATTACAAGCCCTACCAAATTAACATCGATCCCTTTTACAAGTAACACCAGCGTACGACTGGAAATCGGTTGAACTCGAACGAAAATTTGATTAGTTCCGTGGGGTGGAGTTGGCTGCGACCGAAGCAGCGGAGATTTATGTCGCGAAAGTGCTAGGTCTGAGGGCGGGGGTGTCGCGTGGCAAGCAGCAATAAGGGAAAATCGGTAGTCATCCAGCTTTTCCCCAGAGAGAAAACGGACGAACCTGTGGGAGCGATGGTGGAAGAAGGACGAGAAGAAAGAGCGTTACGAGCGACGCTCTATTTCTGGACGAATCGTTGGCAAGGAAGAAGAGAGGCAGAGGGTCATCAGGATTGATGCGTCCTTTTGCCTGAATTATTACCGAGTCCTACAATTCTCATCCTCCTTTTTTTTTTTCTTTGCTCCTGCTCGTTTTCTCTTTTCACTACATCGGTGTCGCGTCGTTCGTGAAACGTCGCCTCTAGCTCACTTTCGCCCCCCGACTCCCTTAATTCCCGAAAATCAAGTATACCGGCTGTTTATACTCGTAATTTTCATGCGAAGAGAGCCGAGCTGTTTTATCGGGGATATTTCCGCGAATATCGTCTCGCGAAAATCGTCTAATTCGGCACGAGTTCTTTGATAAACAATCTGATTTACTTACCGGCGTCGAATCAACTACCGACCTCGCTCGTTCGCCTGGCAAATTGACTTAGGAAACAGAAATTACTCGATTACTCACCTGAAAGCAAAATAAGAACAAAAGGGTTAGCCGAGTGGCGAGAATTACTCGTGAGTTTGCGTTTCACGAGGAAATGAATGGAGGCACGAGAGGGAAATGAAGATAGAAAGTGGAGGAGAATGTAATCTACAACGGTGATAAACGGGGAGCGTTTTATTCTACTTCTATTTAATATTAATTCTATTCTACTCATAAAATTGATTTAATAAGAAAACAATTTTTCATTTTTCATTTCCTTTGCGAGACCATTAAAACAAAATTAACCAAACGTTTCACGATAATGGATTAAACTCGAAGCTTGTTATTTACAAGCACTCGATGCTCACATGTAATTAACTTGCGGCTAGGTAAATGCATTTCCGTGTCGCATTATCGAATTTGCAACTCGTATCAGAACGCATTAATAACTCTTCCTTTTTCCCCCCTGATTCGCGGATATTTCGAGGACTCGAGTCCTCGGGTTATCTCATCGATTCGAGCGGTAAACCGGTAAAAATAAACTTTACAAACGCGGGAGAGATAACTAAGGTATTCATTTACCGTCGTAGCACGACAGAACGACGTGAATGCTAAATAGATCGTGGTGCGGTCGCCGTACGTCTAAAGTGTCCGGTTTATGGACGTTCCCGAGGAAAAATAGCAGTCACGACGCGGCAGCGTGGTGACCGGTAGTCGCTCACGCGCGAAATGACGTTAACAAGTTGATTCCCCGGCGTAATAACTTAAAACGTTTAGGATTTCGATTTTTCAACCGTTCTCTGAACGTAGATTGTCTTGCTTTCGTGCAGCCTTTCACTTTGCCAGTTCAGCCGTGCTTTATAGCTCGCGTCTGTTTTCATTTGCTTCTCCTCCTTCTTCTCCTACACGTTTCGCAGCCCAACTCCGCGTGATTCGCGTTTTTCTTGCAATCCCAAGTTACCGCTTTGCACGAAACGTTTCGGCCTCGGTATCGGGTCAATTGCGAACGATCCAGACGATTTCGAGCAACAGCCGCCATTACAGATGGTGTTGAAACGGAAGGGTTACCTTCAGTTTTTGCAATTTTTCAAATCATCGTGCCCGAAGACGGTCGCTGTAATTCAACTTGTCAACGAAACGCGATTACCAAAGATGGAGCATCGCGCTGGTGGGATGGAAAAAGAATAGAAAAAAGAAGGAAAGATTTTTCGCTGGTATCTGAACGCGCATCGACGAGCTGCCAACAATTAATCCGGACGGACAACGGCGTGGAACGGGACCGTAACTCTATACCCATAGGACCCCCAAGTTCGAGCTTAAAGATGAAGCAAGGAAAGGGGTGGAGAGAAACTAGGTTCTGATCTCATATCATATTTCGTGTTATTCAAATGCCAACAATGCCATTAAAGGATTTCTCTGGTAATCCCCTGGCCGCAGTTGGCGAGAGAACCCGATGGTGCACGGCGAAAACACCAACAGGCACAAAGAGAGTCGGTTGTTCCTACGCAGGGACACGAAACGGCCGCAAACATCCACGGGACAATGCAACAACCGGCTCTATCTGCGCGTTTTGTTCTTCCCGATCTAGCTAACCCAACTCGTTCCCTTTCGTTCTTTCATATTGGACCAATTTCCTTCCGTCAAGGAAACGCGACGAAGAATGGTTATTCTTCCATTTTTGATAAAGATGGAAACTCCTGGATAAACTGTTTACTAAGTTTTTGCCTGGTATTCTGTTTACAAGCATCCTGAAAACGTTGTTCACGACGACCATCAGGAGTTCAATCGAAGTTTACACGATCGATCAAGGGACGACTATCCTTTGAGTAAAGAAAAGAGATTTTGGAGAGAAGAAAAACAGGGTGGTGCTTTGATTCGAAAACGAACCTGATGCTCTGTTGGAGTCTCTAAAACGAAGAGGAAATCGGGATCAGATGGGGGATGAAGTCATCACTGGTGGAGCGAAACAGCGACCCCTGCTAGGGCCGTTCGCTTGGAAACAATCACATTACACTTTGTACGTACACCGTGAGCGGCGTGTCCCTTGCTCAGCAATGCCAAACATCCCTTCTAGTTGTCTGGTCCAAAGTAATCTAATGATTCTTTATTTCTTCAAGCCGGACCAACCAACGACCCCATCAGCCTTAATGCGTTAATCAAGTAATTTTCTAGAGAACAATACAGGGCTGATCTTTTATTCTCCAAAATGACGTTATTATTCCCAATTATGTGCAATTAAAAATTGATGAATTGGTAATCTAGTTTTGAAGAAAAGTATCTCGTGTTAAGGGGTTAATCGATGTTATTAAACGTATAAAATTTGAGGCTGCGGTTTCTTCTGTATCGGTGGATGTTCAATTTGTAATAAATTCCAGGCGAGAGGAGACGGGCCAGGGGTCATTAAGTCCGGTATTATAAATGCATTAAATACTCCGAGACGATGGGATGAGTCAGAACGTGCAGCGTGCAGCAACAGGGAAGCCGGATTTCAGGAGGGTGGCAGGTGGCGCCAATTTTACGGACCGACGGCTGTGACGGATGTAACGAGACGCAGTTCTACGCGAAACGCGTTCGTCACACGTGGTCGCTTCGATGGACACGATGCCATGGATGGTTTTATGGGAAACGCGAGGGATGCTCCGTCCAACCGATCAAAAATCATCCCCTTAATCTGACGACTCGACGGAGAAACCTTTACCAGTGACTTGCAATCATTCTGAACGAATAATCACTAAAATATACACCATTGACATTATTATTAATACGATAAAACCTAGAATTCACCATTAAAATCACATTCACAAGGATTTAAACCTTAGTATCAATAGCTCATCATCATGCATTAGCTAAATGGACGAAACTTTCTCTCAATACTATCAATGTGAGTCACTGAAAAGTCTCGTTCCATCGTCTAATCATAATACCAACAACTAACCGGTCCAACCAACTCATGGTCAAACGGAAGAATCACTACAGTGAAAATGTGGACTCATGGAATGTCCATAATAAACGCGAGCGGTTGGAGACGTTCTCCATTAAGTCGATCGTTAATCATCATCATCCGACCTCCCGTTAAACGGTTCCATTTCACGATACACTTTAGAGTAGTTTTATCGATCTGCTATCGTTGGATCGTGGCTACGTTGCCTGACTAGATTGCGTGCAGGATATCGCGACTGGCCACACAACTTTTCACTGTATACAGTATGTGGTACACGCAGGTGGGTGCCATTGTGGCCAGGTATTCAGTTAGTTTTCTAGGTGTTGTATCGTCTTAGGTAGGTATAGATGGCGCGCGTGGCTCATTAGTACTAATGAGTAATGAGCCGATGATTAGAGGAGGCGGTCCGTAGGCGTGGCGCCACTTTGATCTCACCGACCAAGCGCAAAGCGAACCTCTCTCTTTGCCTGTTCTTTTGCTTCTTCTTCCACCACCTCTTTTTTTTCCTCTCATCCGTCTCTCCTCTCTTCTTATTCCTCTGCCCGTGTTCCTTCTGTTGCACAGCTTGCTTCCTTCGCGATCCATGACCAGTTCACCAGCCGTTGGCCGGCTGCTGTTCTACTCTCGATCTCGGAAGATCGAGCTCCGCTATCGCGTTACCACGTTCCACGAAGGTCCGTCGAGCTGTTACGTTCTTCTCGAACCGAGCTAGTCGGAACAGGCGAATGAATGCCCGAAAATTCGTTGCTCTTGGTTCACTTAACCCTTTGAGGTGCTGTGTTAAATTTGGCTCGATCATATCTAGCTCGACGTACGAATCTTTGCCTAAGATCAATTTATACCCAACGTCGATGTTTGCCTCCCTCTATAATTAACAAAAATAAAAAGTATCTGTTTGAAGCCTAAGGCGTCAAGACGGTCAGGATTGTCCGGTCACTTTCATCCTAACCCTTTCGATGCCGCGCTACTCTGATTAGGTCGTTAAATTTGCTAACGCATCCCCATAAAGTTGCAAATTGCTCGGCTAGCCTGTTCCTTGCGCCTCCTCGTCGCGATCCCATCTAAACTGCGAAAACTATGAAACTGACGATGGGAAGAAATAATTGATCGTTCCAATTGTACGTGAACAAATGATCTAGACTTTCGCTAGACCGCGACCCTCGATTCCTGGACGGTAGGTCGACGACACCACGCCCAGTTTAGCGTCCGGTTTTATTCGAGCCTGGTAATAATAACATAACGACGCACGAGAAAGTGCGTTTCAGGTGTAAAGGAGGCGGATAGAAAGGGAAAGAAAGCTTGGGTCCTATGGAGTCGGTGTCCCGCGGCTAGTGTCAACGTTTGACTTTACGAGGGAGCTGGCAGCCACGAGAATGGGAGAAAGGCCGAAGCTCGCAGGGGTCCACGGGGTACAATGGCCACCCGCCGCGACGAAACCAGCCCCCTTCGACTCCCGGACGAGTTAATGTTATTCCGCATCATCCATGTATAGTTGCGTTTCTATTAAATAGACGTCAATCATACGATCCGTCGGAGATTTATGTTTCCCGCTGGACGTCAGGGTGGCCCCGTGCATGGGACAACATTTTTAATAACCTTCTGACACCCCGGTGATACCCTTTTTATCCGAGTAAATTGATTTAACCCTTTAAGGTAGTTCAAGTACTATACAAGACATGTTTGTGTGATTATTAAATTAAATCGACTTGAATGCATTCGAAACTGGAGCAAGACTGGTAGCGTTTTGAGGAGATGCATGGTCCTCCGCTATAGTCTTCGAGGACACTCGAGAGGGATCGATTATACCCCAAATCTGTCAACACTTTGCTACTGTAGTAGGATTGGATTCGAGTAACCACTTGAGGCTATTGAAGAGCACATTCTACTCCATCTTTTATCTCTTTGCTGGGTTAAGTTATTATATTTAATCTCTCAAGAATAGAAAACTAAAGCAAATGCATACTTCAAACGACGATATCTAAAAACATTCAGATTTTCTAGGATCAAAGATCACAGAACAGTTTCAAAAAATTGCATCGTCGATGTACGCACGATAGCGTTCGAAAAACGACCGACAAGATCCACGATAGGAAAAAAGCGAAGAAACACCAGTGAAACGTCTCTCGCGTGCAACGCCCTGGAAAAGGATCGGTCACCCCGTTCCTTTCGTGAAATGTTTTTCAAACAGGCCGCCAATGTCCGTAGAAGGAGGAGAGATTCGTGGAGAAATACCACTCTCCCGGTCCCTTTTCCCTTTTCCAAAAGAGTAACCTGATCCTGTTATTCGCGCGGCAGAGCTCCACGAGCTGCTGCGCAGGAGATGCGCCCGTCCCTTTTTTTACCCTCACTGTTTTCCCCGTAGTATAATATGCGTGAAGAAGATCGGCCGCACGATAAGTGGAAACCCTTGGGTTACCGAGTCAAGCAGGTATGTATCGAGGATCTACCGGCGACCTAATAGAATCTGAAGTGCGTATATTATCGGTAGCCAGAAACCGGGAATCGTGATACAACGCGCGCATACATAAGGAATGGAATAAATAACGATCTTCTGGGATCGAGGTAAAATTTCTTCACGTTGCATTAGAAGTAAAGCATTACAGAATCGTTTGTTAAATAAAAATAATAATACAGAAGTAAAAGGTTGACTGGGTTATCTGTAACGTTAGAAAACATCGACCACCAGCTTTGGTTTAGGTTTCCCACCATTCAGGTTATGGTTACGATCCCCGCTGTTCACATATTTTTTTCAGCATTGATTGGCATTCTAACTTCCAGAAGCACGACAAGCACGGCGGTCGTAGAAACTTGACGCCATAGTCGGGGCGCACCTGTTGTGCAAGCGGCATTTACATTTTCCTCGCGATCAATGCACCAACCTCGTCGTTCCCTTATCGTATTCTTATCGTTAACGGTCCCGCGAACGTTTCCAATTCCGTTGAACGTTGACACCGCTTTATTGGTGCCACTCCGACCGGGAACAAGCTTTCTCGTTCCAGTAAAATACGCGAGAGATAAATTCACCACGGCGCGTATGTTCCGCTCCTTATCAATATTGGCCCTTTACGAAACCGTATAAAACGACGTGCAACAGGGAATGAGAAAAAGCACGCGTACGATCGCAGATCATTCCGTCCCGAGTTGTCTGTTCAATGTCTTATTCGAATTGAGTCAAGCCACGTTCAGACACTCTTCTCTTTTCCAAGTCATGATTCGTTGACGTTCCGATCGGGAACGAGTGTGTTCGTCGACTATCGCTCGATACAATCGCGGTAGAGTGCATTTAATGGAAGACATTCGATTCTACCTGTTGCAAATTTTCAAGCAATTCAATCGCTGTTGAATTTCAAATCACGTTGGGAAACTTGACTCCCTGAAAGCAAACTGGATTGTATCCAAACCTCACTGTTTTATTGTTTTAGCCTTTCCAAAAGTTTTAAAGTTAAAGATTAAAAACTATTTTTAATAGAAATAGAAATTTGAAGGAAAGCCGAATTTCAATTTTCATGAAATGGTATAATGATCTAGTTAAACAAAATTCACAGTATTAGACTAAAAGAAGGGGTTCGCCGAAGATAAAATAACGAAGAATCATCTCCGGTCCTTTCCTAGGAAGCGAGGTGTCGCGGCCGAGCCTACCTTCCCTACAAAGTACCAGTGGAAGTCTGGTGGAAGGGCTGGCCAGGTGACGGCGGCGCCTCACAGCACATCCATCTTGGTGTTCGGGGCCTGTTTAGGTTCATCCCTATGGCCTTCCATCGTTGCGCGGCTTTTGAAACACGAGGAGCCGGGCGAGCGAGCAGGACAGCCTAACAGGAGGGCAGAGAGAGAAAGAGAAGGAAAGGAAACTCGAACTCGCCGGTTATTTATTAGAGGACCTCGTTAAGGTCCATCCGAGTCCCCGGTCCGTGGATACGAAGAGCTGTCACACCCGCGTTATCTGACCAGCCGCATTGTTTTAATCTCCCAACGAAATCCTCTTTCTCTGTCTCTCTTCCTATACCTGCATGTCGCGTAACTCGTTCCAGGTTTCGATGGCCAGCCACGTTTCGACGTGGCTAACCTACGACCGGACGCAACAGCGTTCGTCGTATGGCGCAACCGCGAGTTCCTCGTCGGTAGATACGATCTCGTCATGGCGGTTGCTGACCAGAAACATAGGTGCCGAACAAAGATACGCGGTCTGATCGAGCAGATTGATGATTCGGTCGTTCCGAAGAGAAAAATACCAAACGATTACTCGTTCGCTCGATAAAGCCTGATGGTCAATTTTTTAATTTTCTCGCGAATCCGATGAACCAGTTTGACGAGATAGAAGGCGTTGAGCAGTGTTCAGAAGTCGGTTGGCCGTTCTCGAAATGGGCAGGCAAAGAGGAGAACACAAAACCCGATGGGCCATATCGAAAGGCATTCGAACGATACCGATAGCAGTTTCGGCGGAGGAGCTCGGCAGGAGTGTTGCGCGTTACAAGGGTAATATACAGCTTATTGTATATCACGGGTACGATCACGGTGTTCGGACGTTTACGAGCATAGTGGAAGACGGCTTTTGTAGGACATCGCGACGGTACAATGTCAGGTGTCCCCGACGCGTTCACGTGGGCACACGATCCACCTTCCACCTACTTGAAGGACCAACCGCCACCCAACGCCACTGCTGACCGCCCACGCAACAAATCAAAAACGAATCTTTTAATTGCCTGACATCTTTACGGCTCCTATAAAACAATGAATATAGGTAGGTTTCGAATGCGAAGATACGGGATGGCAGACGTGTCCCGTGGATCAGACCCATGGACG